ATATAGAATAACTATTACAATCAATGAATTTACTGTCATGTTTAAAACTTGCTTACTCTACGTATAAACAATAAACCTTGTTATCCGATAAAAAATATTTATAATTTAAAAAGACTTTTCGACAAATAAATTGATTCATAAAAACACTGATGCACCAACTCAATATCATAAATAAATAAAATGGCCTCAATTTGAAAAGAGTAAGTGACATAGTTTCTGTTGACTATTTAAAGTCGTGACAGCAGTCTAATAAAATAACAATCGGGAATTAGGTCAAAAGTTTAATTATCGCATAGTGGTGTATTAACTTGAAACCGTTTTAACATGTGGTAGATTTGGTAGACACATAACTATTGAATCATATTTATATACACCCAGTACAAGTTGAATTTTATAATAAAACCGTTGAAATTAACGTTAACTCATTGATAATTTATTTGATTTAAATTAGGTATAAAACTTGAGTATTACAGTGAATTCATTTTTAAATAATTGAAATACAGATAGTTCCAATACGATAATGTAGATCATCCTATATGGTGAAGATGTCTAATAGCAAATATCTGTACGAGGCGAGAACTTTTAAACCCAAAAACAAACGTAGAAGAGTGTTAAGTCCTCTGTAAAGTCAGGAAAAAACAAAAATCTTGTTAATGCCACTAACTTAATCTAAAATGAGGAAAAAACCTTCAAACTCCCTTCCTTTTAAATTTTTTTCCTGCTCTCATTCTTCTTCGAGTCTCTCTCCATTACTAAAGCCAATACTAAATGGCATAAATGATAATATCTCAATTATTTAATACAAATACAAATACAAATATTCAATACTGTATTAGTGATACAAACTTAACATTTATTTAATAATGGCTTATTTAATAATTGCGTTTTACAACTTATTAGGCGAGTTTTTTTTTTTTTTTTTTATTCAGTCACAGTTATTTAGGAAAAAGCCTTTCCAAAAAAAATAATATAAATAGTCATAGATCCACCTATATGGAAACCTTAATCAAAAAATACTCACAATATCGATTTTAATTTCTGTAAATCAGTCCTATAACATAACAATAACTCATGTACCTAGGAAATTTGATTTTTACGTTATGATACAACAAAATGTAATTATATGTAACCTAAATTTGATCAGCCGTTTTGAGTTTTATATGAGTTGTATTCAATAATTATATTAGGTTCATGAAAGACCGATCATTCTTAAAAATACAATGTGAAATAAAAACAATTTAATTCCAATATATTTGATTTGTTGTGCTCCTAATTATTTTACATTATATTTGCATCTTAATGCTTAAAAGTATAATGATTTGGTTTTTTTTTTTTTTATTCTATATTTAACGTTTCAAACGCAGTATCATTTTAGCTATCCTTACAAAAAAACTTAAATAGGTGATTCAGTTTAATAATTATTTTCATAAATTGCAGGGACATTTTAATAGTAAACTTAGGATATTTAAAATAATTTCAATAAATACAGTCAAAACATTATTAGCGTTCTTGTAACATTTATCCATTATACTTTACTCGATGCCCCATTGATAATTATCATTAAGTTATGATTTTATACTTAGAAAAGTGTAAAATAATATGATACCTATAGTACTTTTTTATGTGAATGTACATAAATAACACTATTCGTCATATATTTACATTCTTGGAAATTATTAAGAAATAATTATTTACTATAATAAATAATAATAACGAAAGTAATTAAATACCGCAACATAGTGAGAATGAGCTTCTCGGCTAAATTATAAAAATAATTTAAATTACAATGTAGTACACTAGTCGCAGTTATTCAAGCATTTAAAATTCCAAGAACCAAAAATATAATATTTAATATTTCTTGCTCTTGGTCGTAAGTCGATCAAACAGACGCAGTTAAAAGATGATATTAAAATCCGTGAATTATCATTAAGAATTAGATAGCTTAAAAATTCGGATTAAAAACTGCTCTGCGACCATATACGATGAAAGAAAAGACTACAGAAGTTTTCGAAAAATATAAACTCAGAAGATGGCAAGATAATTAATGTAAAACGAGATAACCGTTTTATAAGGACAGATGAATCAGAAAATTAATATAGAAAAATTAAAGGAATTGGTAGAAATGGTTTCGAAAAACACGAATACACATGGTAATCAGCTGGGGGAAATAAAATAATATTATTAACTTCAAAACGTACATGCCGTGGTTGATCACTTACACATCGCGATTAGGCGAATCTCGGAATGAACTTAGCTTACTAACAGCAACCTGTAATACTCAGCACCGCAACAGCTCAAAACTTAACACGTTTGTCTAAGACGAACAATTTTAATATGGAACTTGTATCGCTACATTAAATAACCCATGTGAAATAACTCAAAAATATATTAGTTTTATCAGTGGCAATGTATAACTGTTTTTCTACAAATATTATAACAATGCATTTATTCAACAACATACTCGTAATATTCGTTCAGAATTTAAGTTATCTAATTATGTACATATTTTTCTGTTCATTTTATTAAAAAATATTCGATCTTTAACTGATGAAAATTACGAAGTGTTCTATTGGGAAATAATTTATATCATGTTACATAATGCATAGAAGGACTTTAAACCTTTTTAGAAGTTTATTAACTTTTCCACTGGTTCGCAAGATATGATGATTACAAGGGCTCGGAAGTTGTAAAAGTTACATATTGTTCTATATGCTCTCAATTTATTGCAGACCAAGTTAGAAATCCCAGCTATACAAGGGTGAATATAAAAATCGAAAATTAAAAATCCATATTTTTCATATTTAGTGAAATTTAGGAAAAAAGTGCATATTTTGTTCATTCCCATGTGTATATTCTTCTTCTTGTTAACAGCCCAAGGGCTGGTTGGCAGCAATTCTCCACTCCTGACGCTTCTCCGCTTTCCTTTTTAATTCACAACAAGATCAGCAGTCCATATCTCTTACTATTTAATTATTGTAGTCCAGTGGCGGTCGTCCTCTGCTATTAATCCCTTCAATGGCACCTTCTATTATCCTGCCAAGTAGACTGCTTTGACGCAGAATGTGTCCAATTAACTTGGCTCTTCTTGTTTTTAAGGTCTTCAGAAAACTTCTTGTTTATCCGGCTCTTCGATAAACTTCTTCGTTTGTTATGTGCTCTGTCCAGGTTATTCTAAGTAGTTTTCTGTAACACCATATTTCGAACGATAAGTCTTTTTTCTTCTGTTTTACCTATGGTCCATATCTCACTTCCATACAGTGCTACGCTTCAGACATAAGCCTTAAGTAAGTTTTTCCTCACTTTTATGTCAATATTTCTAGATATAAACATATTTTTCTTGCTCTGAAATAAACATTTAGCCTGATTTATTCTGCTTATGATCTCCCTGGTATTCCTGCCGTCCTCAGTTATCGTAATTGTGTATATTATGCATACTTAATAATTTGTAAAAAAAATTTTTTTTGTTTCTTAATCTATATACGATTAAATCTTTAACCTAATGTTGAAAACGTTGTTTCTTAATCCTTCTATCAAATAATCGTCACTCTTTTGAAATTTAAAATTTAAAAGAAAATATTAGAAGTTCAATGCAATCATTTATCAGGCATTATAAAATATTAATTTTTTTCATATTTAAATTAAAAATATTTTTGAATTATTTTTTGAATTATAAATAGTTGTTGTGTATATTATTAATTTATGAATAACATAATAACAATTTTTCCGAATTTAGAATAATTGTTTTATTTATTTACTTAAATTTTTTGTATATTTAACATTTTTAATGCATATTTAAAAACATTTTCGTGCATATTTTGCCTTTTTTAGCTCCTAAAACTTCCAAGCCCTAATAATTAACAATATAATTTAGTTTTCCTATACTATCATAAACAAATTCCAAGCGAAATGGAAGATAAAAAATGATTAAATGGAATCTAGGTATTAATTTTTATTTTCTGCAATGTGTACGAAAAGCAATTGGTCTTGTACTTATTATTTTGCGGATCATTTGAAATTATATAAAAAAAAGATTGACGTTATAAACTGGCGATTTAATTCCATGGATTACGTTTTAATAATAAGTGATAAAAAATAAGTGATGAATGAAAACATACCGATTTCAACATTGTTTTGGCAATTTCTGGTAAATAAATCAAAATATTAGGTCAAATAACCATCGCAATAGTTATGGCATTCAAATATAAAAATACACTTCCATCTTGCCTCAGAATAAATAAAACATATTAATTGTCGTCCAACTACAATAGAAATATTTCCATTGACCTATTGACATACATTTAAATAGTTATTATTAGTTTTTGGTCATTTTATGAATTCTGTATAATTTCTTTTCGAAATAAAACTTAGTTCATCCTATGATGACTCTGTGATATGGTACGTGTTTTATTTTTTAATTTAATTATAACAAAACGCTAATATTTAGGAAACTATAAATTTGAAGACGTAGTTGAATCATTAATTTCCAATAACAGCTTATGAATTGTTGTTGTTGAATAATTAATTTTTAGAATGAACTGATTAAAAATAAATGGCATCACGAATGAGTTGATCTTAGTCACGTTTGGCTTGAATCTGATTCTTGTTACATTACAGAACGACACTTACACACACGTACACACATATAAACTATGCGAGTGATTTTCAAAATGTTGCATTTTGTTTATTCGAGTGGGTGAACGGTATGCTTTTATGAAAAAAAAAAAAGTAAAAATTAATAATGGAACAGGATTTTTGCTCTGTATTACAAATTACAATATTTACAAACTCAAAGGGTCTTCCCTTCTTCTTGGCCAAGTGAAATAATATAAAAATACATATCTTAACAGAACAAACAAAACACCGAGGATAAAAATAGCAGTTTGCCATAAAAATAAACGTTTCGACGATATTTTATTGTACAATAATAATAAAATTGAAATGTTTTCCGGTTTTTTTTCCCTTTGTAACGCAATGGTATTCTTTTGTCATATTTTCCGCAGATAAACGTTCCGCCGCCGCCTCGATCGCCACCACCCACGTCTTCCAGATCGAGCAGCAGCCGAGGTGGAGGAGCCAGTAACGCTTCCACGTGTCCACTGACTCGGTCCGACGACACCCTGTGTCAGTTACCGCCGGAGATCCCCAGGGATTATCTAGAGATCGTCCAAACGCTAACCAAGACACACTACGGCGAGGTGAGTGCCAAAAACACTATCATCGAGGATCTATAATGAACTGCGATCATCGACGTTCATAGCATAAAAATTACCGCTTATCATTATTCATGTGCTAAAAATATGTTTTCTGTCGTGTTCGTGCAGGTCCATTTGTGCGAGATGAAAACGTTACCCGACGAGATTCTGCAACCTTCGACGCCAACTGTTAAGACGTGCAAAATGGTCACAGTAAAGTCGTTGCGGAAAGGCGTGTCCGAAGTTACCAAGTAAAAACGATTTTATACGGTCAGCTAATTGACCAATTCTTTTTCCCGGCAGGGCGCTCGCGATTTATGGTCCACCCCAGTGGGTTCTTGTGTGTGTTTGTGTGTATGTACGTGTGTATGTGTGTGTGTGTGTGTGTGTGTGTGTAAGTTCATGAACCCATTACGCCTTGTAAATTTGCTATTATACGGTCACCAAAAGGAACACCATGGGACATCTCACAAATGTGTTTAAATCGCTTTAATAACGATGAACATTTGTGTCTCTACATTCTCTTTGCAGCACGTTAAAAATGTTAACTGTTCGCGGAATAGTTTTTTTAAATGTTCTGTTATTAATTCATTTATTATTACCGTTAGAACGATTATATTTTATTTCTTTTTATCTTCGCTTATGCTGAATCGATTCCGTTATATTAGGTTTATAATAATCATCGTTTGACATCTTTTTCGTTTTTTAGACATGATTTTTACGACGAAGTAGAATCGCTATGGAAAATCAGAGATCCAAACATCACTAAAGTCCTTGGATGTTGTCTCTCGGAAGAACCATTCTGCTTAATAACCGAATTCATGCAGCACGGCGACCTCAATCAGTTTCTTCAAGAGCACATCGCCCTGACCGCAACGCCGATTCCACCATACGCAAAAACTCTGAGGTTGTTTTAACGAATGTCTTGTGGAGTTTGATAAAATACCTATTCGACTAACAAAAAGGGTTATGCATTTTTCTAGTTACGGATGCCTCATACACATGGCCACCCAAATAGCATCAGGTATGAAATACTTGGAAGTCATCAATTTTGTTCACCGAGACTTAGCGACAAGGTAAAATAATAATTGAAAATTTTTCAAATAATTATTATTATATACAATGACCGATTACTGTTGTATAAAATATATTTTGGTGTTTACTGCTAACGACTATTATCTTGTATTAAAGTATTTATTTACACATAAAAACGATTGATATGAATTTTTTTGATTAATATACTAACTGATCGGATCATTTTTATTTACTATTGTGTGTGTGTGTGTGTGTGTGTGTGTGTGTGTGTGTGAGTCATTGGATTTAAATAATATCTTATCACACGTGTATCGAATAAAAAGTATGATAATAAACATTTAGAACAATCGAATACGATCATCATTATACAAATACATATAAAATATTAAAAAATAATTAATCTTCAATCGTCAATAGGTTCACATTAACCAGATTAAATATATATACTAATTTAAATATCTTTTTAACAATTTATGTTGGAGTATACTCGTACTTCAATTGAAAACCAATAAAATATATATTTTTAACTACTATTTGCATAGAATCAATGAGTATTGAAGTACTATAAAAGTATTATTTTTACTTGTGATTAGTAAAAATGTTGGATTGTATAAGTTGTACTTAAAGCTAAAACTATTGTTTTGGTTTTACTGTGCCATTTCAACAAATTAAATATAAATGATAAACAAAAATGAACACCAAATGGAACTCCATTTTGTTTCGAACAATTCCCGTACATTAGAACTGACCGGCACATATAATACAGTGCATCGAAAATATAAGTTCTCTTCAAATGGAAGTCTTTCGTATAAGGTGCACCAAATTAGACCTCCGGGTCAGTTAAGATTATAATATATTATTTAAAAGCTGATTTTCGTTTATAAATATAATTACTATTAACAAATATCATTTTCAATATGTTTAAAATAATTAATCAAATTTAAAACGATAAAATAAAAAAATTATAAATAAATTGTGCCATATGATTTCAAAGATTTCTATTTACTTGTGCATTTTATGTCGACACGGTGTTTCGTCTTTTCCTGCAATCGATTACAATGAAACGATTGTCATACAACATATCATTATCTTGATAATAATCCAGTATTTCCCTTTAAATATTGAAAAATAAGTGGAGTTTTGTACATTTCGAGTTGATTGATAAAATATTTGTCTTAAAACGGGATGAGAACATTTCTTCAAAAACTAATTAACTACAGTAAGTTACTCAATGTAAAAACAATCTTAAACAGATTTATTTTTAATTAATTAAATTTTTGAAATTTTATACACAACTTTAAAATAGCAGAAGGATTAAAAGTTTTAAATTCTTTTTAGTTTGTTTAATACCCCGTTTCGGTTCAGAAAAATAAAAATAAAACCTACGGATTTAAAATTCTACGGAACGAAATAAATGTGTTATTTAACTAACAACATTTTAAATTTGTTATATTTCAATGATTATGCAATTTACTAAACTATTTTTTTAATTTGAATTGAATGTGTTTATTAAATATTGGAATCGTTTAGCTTTATATAAAAACTTATAACTATACAACCGATAAACATCTGTATCATAACATTTATGGTGGTAATATAGGAAAACCGAAATGACCAATTTATTTTTAAATCGCTTGGTGGAATATATCCGAAGTGATTGTTTTAGTTATAAAACATTTGAAAGTATTACATTATAACCATCTCATATCAAAACGTACATAACAATCGACGTTATAGTAAATTTGATTGCTGTTTTTTCCCAACCTAATTTTCTTTCCAAACCGTTTTTTTTTGTTATTTAAACAATCATGATTATTATTTTGACAAACAATTGTCCCACCGAACTGTACCACGCATTTTTCACTGAAAATCACCCAAAAGTCAAGTCTTATGATCACTGGTCTAAACGTTATCGCGGTACCTGGTCTTATAAAAATGTTGTGTTCAAGAGATCCACGATTGGATATATCATTTATTACAAACTGTTATTAGTCAAGTCTTATCAGAGCTGTTCACATTAGTTTTTTTTTTTTTTTTTTTATATAATAATAAACAAACAAATAAAGTATTGACTTTAAAATAAAACCCGAATTAACTGCGGCTAATTCGACTTCCTTCATAAACAGTCCCATAACAATCGACAAATAATAATTGAAAGTCGACATGACTTAGTGTTTTATGAAAAATAATGCTTTTCATCGTTGAAGTGGCCAATCAAACCATTCTCTAGTACTAAAAATGCGAGCGCTGCTTATTTTTTTTTGTCACCCGATACAATCCAACAGAAACAAGTATATGCTTCAAATTTACTCGTAAATAATACAAAATAAAAAATCAACGTCAAAAACAGTGATACATCGTTATTGTTCTCTATCGTTTTACCGTACGCTAATTTTCACTTTTTTCGAAAGGAACGTTTTGTCTCTTGTTACCTGTAACAATTCATGAAACCTATCAAGGAATTCGGCATAATCTTTTTATAAGAAAAATACGGATTAAGTGAAACCATGATGATTCAGAACAACAACCTATACATTTATTTTTGAATATTTCAACTAAATTTTATCCATTTATTATGTAGGTATTTATCTATTTATTATGTATTCTCAGTAATGATTTTCATTTTTTCTGAATTAACTTTGTCAGATATTAATCTACGAATAACTGTTATAGTTATAGTCATGTTATAGTCATGATAAATTTAATATATATATATATATATGTATATTTAAGCTTTTATGTTTATTATTTGAATGATATATATATACATTTTTTTTTTTTTTTTTTGAGAATGACTCTTCGTAAATCGAAATAATTTTATAACATTTTCAAAAATATACTATAATTTTTAAATTGAAACTCGGATTTTGATTTAAGTGATTACCTTCAAATAACCCATATAAAAAAATTACTTTACCATGTTGTCAAAATTTAATTATTACTAATAAATAACATTGTTAAGTTTATGGAATGACAAAAATAATGACACATTTTTACACAAAATATTATTTTGCTTAATGTTATATGATTTTATACAATTTAATTCAATAATCATTTATTTTGAATATTATAAAATCAACATTTATTTATTCTTCTTGTTTAATATGTTATGTTTGTAAAAACAATTTTAAATCATTCAAAGAAACTAATATACTACAACGCTTTGATTTTAGAACTATTTGCTATTTGCATAAAAATTAATTTTTATTCTATTTTATCAACTGATATATTATTCAGCCTTTTTAATACTCAATACCATTCAATAACATCGTCCTAGATCTGATCAAACTTCGTTGATGGCAGAGTTGGACAAAAACAAATCAAAATAATGAATAAAAAATAAAAGCCTGAATAACTAATTTATTTATGAATAAAGAATAATTTTTTATTTTGAATAACTGTAGCGTACTGAATAAAGAATAAAATTATTCTGAATAGTTTTATTAGTTAATAAAACAATTATTCAGAGTAAATTTATTCGTTAAAATCATGAATGATATTAAATAAATAATGATATTAAATATAAAAGTATAATTAATTTATTTTTATCAATTATTATATATATTAATATGTATTACCTTTATATATATTATTTAAGTCTAAATAATAAGTATATTATTACTATACATCGTTATTTTGGATTTAAATTTATTATTTATATGATTATAGGGAATAACGAATAACGAATAATGAATAACGAATAACTAAATAATGAATAAAATATAGTAAATAAAAATCTCCGAATAATGAATAACGAATAATAATACAAATTAAAATAATGAATAAAAATAAAAATCAATAATAAAATTAAGAATAAATCAATGAAGAATAATTTTTTATTCAAATAATCAATCGAATAATATTTTATTCGACTAATGCCCAACTCTGGTTGATCGCAATAACAACATATTTTCTCGTTTCTACTATAAAATTTCGATCTTTCGTTTCAGAAAAAAATATTTTTCCTAAAAAACAAACTTATATTATTAATTTTAAGTTGACTGAAAATTTTTAGAAATATACATGACTAATAGATTATAACTAAAGATTCTAAAACATACATGAAAAATATAACTTGTCGATAGAAATCAGTTCTAACGAATTGGTACACAATTCCAAAACATGGCACTTGGATCTCATTTTGTTCTATTCAGCAAAATTTGATTGCAGTGCTATAATATATAAATATGTCATATTTAAATACAATTCCGACCCGATTTCTAATAATCCAACAATAATCATAATCCTTTCGAAAACTGATTTATATTTTCATATCTATTCGATATATTTTTATTTTTTATTTCAATTTTCGCATTATTATAGAAACATTTAAAAATATAAAATAATCGGACAGTAACATACTTTATGAATAGAAATCATTTTAGCATAAACTCTATATATATATTATATTATTTCTGTGTATATTTTGATACCTTTTGTATTATATATGTAGTGACATGTTGTACGCGCATACGGTGGTTGAGTGGTGGATTATCCCGACAGGAATACAAAAAACTTTTGTCGTTGGGTCGTAGGACTGCGGGCTGTTGATAAGCATACTAATTAACAATCCATTTTCGATTCAAATAAAGTCAACATTCTATCTTAAAAATATTTTATTGTAGTATTACCAATCAGTTACATTGACATGCAAATAATTATAGATTATATCGAACGTGCTAATATTAGTACTGTTTCAGATCATATAAAGCCAATTGGTTTTTTAATTAAGTTCTAAAGATTTTTATTGTATACTTTATATGAATTTATGAAAATAAATGGAAAAAAAAATTTCAAATAAAAATCTTCATATCTAACTAGAATATTTTATAATTTCAAAAATAATTAGTAAATCAATTTAACATACTTGAAAAACTGCATTGTTGAATATTCACATTTATCTATTTAGAAATTTTTTTTTAAATATTTTATTTTTATAAAAAAAAAAAACAAAAAATTCCAAAGATAAATTTTATTTAACGAAATCATTATATAACTTAAAACTAAAATTATTATCGTTATATCATAATTTTAGCAATTAGGTCTCTCACAATATTTATTTAATTTTTTAGAGTTTCACCACCAGTGAATCATTTTACTGTACAGTTAACTAATCTATTATATTGTTCATCTGTTGTATTTAGAAATACTATTTATTTAATATTTTTTAAACTTTTTTAATTTATTTTACTTCTGCCTCGAGTGCAATAAAAAAATTATCAATTATAAATTTTTAAATATGAGTTTTTAAAGCGATTCTGTTGAATTTTTGTCAATTATTTCGACTTACTAAACCGTTCATAAATTTAGAATTAAACAAGAATGGAATTTTAACTTTTAGTTCTTAATTTCTTCCTCCAACATCAAACTCGTCGTATTTAAATAATAGTATATTGTTAGGATGGAAAAATTGAGAAAGATAATTTCCTACTTACCAATAAGGGCAATCATATTATCATAATGCCTAGAGCCTAAATCAGACAATCAAAAATAATTAACTTACGAACATTGTTTGAGTAGCTAATAATATATAATAATAATTCCATTACGTTAACCGTTTATGTACATTTTTACGGATAGACTTAAAATAATAACATACAGAATAAATAAGTTGTTATACGATACGATAAGGTCTTGAATTTTTCACTATTTAAATATAATATAATTGATCATCAAAGTAAAAAAAATATATAAAAATAATAATAATGGGAATAATAATATATCTATTTTTATTTTTACTTACGCAACAACGGTAGCGTCAAAATTGCGTTTGTTGAACGCTGTAATATATTAACATCTTTATTATAGTAATAACTCGTTTCGAATAAAAACGTATAATAACATTGGATCTCACATTTTATGAATATTTTACGTTTATTCCTTCTTCGTGTTGAATAGACCGTTACAAATATTTTAACGTCTTAATACATCCCCGTTTTCGTTATAAAACTGTAGTTCAAAATAAACATTTCGTCACGTACGCCGACTGAAAAGTGATTCAGAGAGAGTTGGGTGGGAGGGTTTTTTTTTTTTTATCATAACGATTATTATTTTATTTGTTTAACGTTACAGAGACTTTGGTTCAAACACGAATAAAACAATAAAAGAAGAGGTTTAGTTCAGAACTATTTCTCTAACTCGTGCTATAACAGTTTACTGGAAACTTTCGGCTCGCGTTTGTGTTATTAAAACGCTATCTGTTGTACATTTTACTTCTGTACTCGTAGACGACTGAAACGAAGACGGCGGCAGGCATAAAATTTAATTTTAAACGCTCGCTAGTAACATCGTGTGAACGTTCAAAACGGAAAAAACGATTTCTGCGCGGCACTAATTCTCGCGCCCGTTCTTGCGCGATGCGAATCGGTATCGGGCACGGAACAAGTGTAATATGCAAATGACGTGGCCTGCGTTTAAACCCACAATGCGCACGTGAACATGTTGTGGCATTAGAGACATAAGTGCTTTGTACTTCGATTATGGAAAACGCGCGTCGCGTTTAGTTGGATCATACGCAACGATAAAGAAATAATATTAGGGCGAAAAGGAGTAGAAGCGGAAACAGAGATTTTCTGTGAATAGAAATTCCCTAGACCTTTGAACTATAGTCATCCGACGCCTAAGATGTTTCCGTAATTCACCTTAGTGAACGATTAGTTATGACGTGGAAAGTAATAATACGTATCGAGATTTTTCCAAATCGAAACTCAGATACTCACCGCTTTCACGTGGAAATCCCTCATTCAATTAATTTGCGTTCAAAGGTCACATGATTAGCCACATATTTCTTAAATTCATTATTTTGGAATACACGGATTATACTTTGATAATTGCCAGTCTCTATAACAATAAAAAGATATCCTCCAAATCAAAATGAATTAAAAGTTATCTTAGAAATTTGAAAGCTAATACCCACTTGACCATAGGAATACTTGAATATTTATCAAAAATAAACTTGGATTCAGTTATTAATTTAGTTATTAGTTAATTAAGCGATTATATAAATAAACGATTTATATTTTAATTTACATATTACACCTAAACTCAACAATATACAGTAGCAAATAAATAGAAATAATTTATTTTGATTAAATTTTGAAAACAATTAAATGTATATGTTTTATCCAGCCTTCGAAGAATCCTGTGCACAACACCAATGAAGTTCATGCACACAATACCAGTGACAGTTTTTATTGTACTTGTAAAACATATTTTATTATCTCAACATATTTTCTTTATTGATATGATTAATAAAGTAAAATTACACTTTGCAAAAATATTTTTTTTCTCAAGTAACAGGCTTTTTTTTATTAAATAAATTATATCCTAATCGGTATTACAATATTTTCAATCGGTATAACAATTTTTCATTTTATTTTTGTTATTATTAAAAACTATAAAAAAATAATAAATAATTTAATTTGATTACTTTAAAATATTACGAATACTTATATTATTTAAATTTATTATTTTTAGACTGACCATAATGTATTCCTTCATAACTTTTATTTTCATTAATCATGTGAAAATTGTGTGTTTAATTTTATCTGTTTTGTAATTTTGACATTTTATTCACTTTTACTGTTTATCTCCAATTACTATAAATTAATAAAAGATGGACGGAACCAAAAGAAGTTTTAGAACCTGTTATTAGTTCTATGGCCCAAAAAAGCATATAGAACAATGTTTTATTAAAACAAGATAAGTAAAATTTCAAATATGACATCATTAAGAAACCTATGAAGTTTTTAGTAAATATAATATGGTGATTCCAATTAGAAAAAAAAAAATCCGTAATCTTTAACCGCCAGGTTATAATATTATTTTTACGTATTGCGTTTAGTGTAATCCCACTGAATTGAACTTTATTTGACAAAATCACCTCGTGTACAATATTCTGTTGGATACGCATTATTCGATACCTAAATAAGAAATACATGTATATTAATTAATAAAAATAAGCCCTAACTATAGATTCGTTCGCCGTTTCCATATCATAAATATAAGGCGAATAATCAACACAACGTGTGTTTAAATCTAATACCTTTTTACAGCCATCGATTATATTTTCTATGACGTGTCCCGTAGCGATAGTCACATTCCTTTTATATCAAAAACCTACTGTCACTCAACAATCAATTATTATAATTACTCATCAAAAATTAATTTCCACGGCGAGATATTGCGTTTAAACAGCACCATTTTGAAAATAAAGTCAACACAAAACAAAAATAAACATTAACCATATTACCTTTGCCGTACCCATTATTGACTGCGCTGATCGTGTGACGGGAATTCTAATACAGATGGTTGAGTTTTCCATTCGGTTTTCGGTTATGCGATTTTCTAAAAAAAATAAAGAGAAAAAAAACAAATCGTACTCGTATGAGTTCCAAAAATAAACAAAACTTACTGACAGCGGTTTGAACTTTCCTTAGCAGCTCGGATTTATTCGTTCGACGCATCGTCTCGAGAAAATACTGGCCCGCGGTGGCAAAAACAACACAGCTGACACAATAAATTAAAAACTAAACTTTTTTTTTTTTTTGTTCACGGAGAGCCGAGGGCCATAAAATCGTTCGTGGTTTGCTTTACTACTTATTTTTATCACACAGTCGCCAATACATTGCTGTTGATATATTAAAGGTTGCAGGCGACGTGCTTATCATCACTAATGATAAATCTTCGAGATAATACATTTAGCCTTTATTCCCCGTATGTATTTGAGAGACGCACGCATTATCTTCGCTGTTAATCGATAATTTAATTTTTCAAAACCATTTAACAAAACGCGTGTGTAAAATTATTTACAGAAACTGTCTGGTCGGTCCCAATTACACGGTCAAAGTGTCCAACATGAGTCTGAGTAAAAGTGTCTATTCAGCCGACTATTTCGACTTCGAGGGAAGACCTTCGCTGCCGATCCGCTGGATGTCGTGGGAGAGCATATTGTTGGTAAGGCAAATCGCAAATAAAATCAACCGTATAACGGTTTGGTATTAAACATTTTTTCGTTGAACATAAATTATTATGATATCATAACGTGTACGCGCGTGTTTTCGTCCGTCTAGAACAAGTACACGCCGAGAAGTGACGTTTGGTCGTTCGCTGTCACGCTGTGGGAAATACTGACGTTCGCCCGGGAACAACCGTACGAAGAACTTAGCGACCAACACGTAATTGACAACGTCACTAGACTGTATCAAAACGATGGCAACTTTGTGAGTATAATACTGAAATGTATATTGTCTCGGTTTGCTGGACTATTTCTGTTACGGGAAATTACTGCAAACAATTTTAACTGTCAACATTTCCTTACATCATGAATAAATGCATTTTGTGCTAAATGCGGTCATTATATCGGTGCCGGCCTGTAAACGACAGGTGTACAATATAAATTAACAGTAAAAACACATATGTCGTGGAAGAATGTGAATGATCGATATATTTTGAATTAAAAATGTTTGCGATATCAATGGATTTCTAGAAATTCGCAATTTTATTTTTTACTATAACTGTGATGGTGTATGTATAATATGAACCTGTTCAGATATTTTAAACGGACATTATATTCGAAAAACTGAGTATTTGTCTTAGCCATGCATACATTACTTAGAGTTAGTGCAGTTTTTAGTTTATTTGTTATAACAGTTTTTCACAAAACATGATCGCAGTGAATCCGAACAGAAATATAAACCTAATACATTTAGCCTATCGATTTTTATATTCCTGGTATAAAAAAGTGAGTTATAATTTTGGTTGTTTCGAGTTGTTGACTAATACGGTATGAAACGTTTAACATGAATGAGACTTGAATTATAAGTAACTAAGAATTTAATGAGCGATTCGTAACTCGATGCATGACATTGTCAAATTGACACAAATTAACGTCAAAAATGTTATCAAACATAATTCGATACCTAGGGGAAGGATAAAGAGGGTTAGAAGAAAAACACTAATCTTTTTCGTCGAATTGTGTAAAAAGAAATAAAAAATACGTTACTCAGCACTTCCGACTATAGGTTTGTGAATGATATTAAATTCCACAATGTTGTTTCGAAGGACATTTCGAATGTTCGCCGGACGAACAATTCGTGGGATAAAATTTTAGAATGTAAAAAAACTGTCTCCAATCGCGTTTGCGTGTGATTGAAAGATTATATTCTTAACAACGGTGCATCATCTAAAACTGACGGCTATCGTTTAATTGGATTCGAATTTTAGTAACTATCCGTATTCCGGACCAATTCGAATGATCAGAAAATTCGCATTTAGATAACCTAGTTAAGTTTACGATAAATTCACTGCAAACTTCTCGGTTCATTGCATTCCCTGTTGATTGAGAGATGTGAACCCATATTAAAATAATTATCAATTTCACCGACACGGTTTTCGGTGATCGCGACACGATGAAATCGACGATCGCTCGTGCACGACGATGATAATGTGAAACGACCGGATTATAGTGCTCGAGAAGAAATCGTGATGACGGCGCAAGAGAAGCGTGTTCAGGTTGAATAAATCACAGACCCGAATGGTTTGCCGAGAACAGGCAATATTTTCACGTCACTATGTAAACAAACACGGCATCGTCGGCGTACTGTACGCAGTCAATAAACGACGTCGCGTAGTCCAGAGATCCTTCGCGCGAACCACAGCCTAATCAAGGACGTATTTAGTTAGTCTAGAACATCAAATTTTAAAAAATGCAGAGGAGCGGCAATTTCTTAAAAGTTTAGAGAGATGATAAATATTTATTTTATAGGTTACAAATTAGATTATAGACCAGTTATTTTTAACCTTTTATGAACGTGAGCCTGCAATTTAAAGTTAAACTAGTCACTATCACAAAAAAAATAAAAATAAAAAAATAGTAATCCAAGTAATCGTAATCATAATTACTAACCAATCATTCTTCGATTTTTTTTCTAGTATTTCAATTAATCTAACGGTTCAAAAACATCACTTACAAAAACCAACTTGGCTATTCACACATCATCATAAAATTATACAGTCAATGAGTAGGTTTTTTTTGTTAGGGAATATATATTTCTACAAGCAAAGACATTCACAGGAAAGACTTGTTTATCCAATAATCTAATTCAACTCTGAAGCATTGCTGGTGCACTATCAGAATATATTCCAATGTAGTCAGTCAAGACTAGACTATTTACAGAAAAATAATTATCAATTTTTTTAAAAATATCTAAACCTGTTGTGATTGCAAAAAGCGGCTTACAAAATAAAATTAAAATAATAGTTAGAACGTCTATAACGTATAAATACCATTAATTGAACGTTATTTTGGACAACGGATTTATCAGTTTGAATCGAACATTTGTTTATTGATATCGCTGATGTAGTTGTCTTAAAATATTTTCAGATAAAATCTATCATAAATTAAAAATATTATCTAAAAGTATAATTAATTCTAACTTATTAGCAACATTATCTCCACAGAAGGTTCTAACCATAGCTGCTGATATCATAAGTTACTTGCCAACGTTATACTCCTTTTTTTAGTGTACGATTGTTAAATAATATCTTGATTATTTTAAATAAAGAAACAGTAAATGTATGATATTAGATGGAAGGTCAAGCCACATTTTATTTTATTTTAATATTCTCTCAATTGACACAATGGTTTATTTACCAATTTAGAATAAACAATATTCAAAAGTCTTTTAAGTTTATGTATTTTCATTGATTCGTTTAATAAAACTTACAAATAGTACACACATTGAGGATTTATGATACCCGTAAAACAAAACTTCAAAAATTCGTCTTTCGTGCAAATTCGTGCGGAACATTCTTTTTCAATAAAAAAAAAAAATAAATAAAAAAACTAATCTAAAATGATTCAAAACCATGTCGTTCAGTTTTAGGATTATATCAATAGTAAAATAGTTTATCCATTAAATCTGAAATAAGCACTTCATTAGAATTTGAAAATATTATCAATGATTTTGATACTTCTGAAAATTAAGAAAAAAATATTTAAATTTTTCAGTTTATTAGTTTTTTTTTCTTTATGTTAATTTTACTTTCACATTATAATATAATATATGAAATATGTATTTCATAGGTATACATAACAGGTATATATGTATACCTATAATGTATAATATACTATGATTTATATTGTATGTAAATCGTCAAAAGAAGATGTAATAATAATAAAATGTTTGGTGTGACCCCAATCCTGATGTTCTTAAATACGCCACTAAGCATAGTGTAATATCACAATACGGTAAAGATTGTGCTATCGAACCGCACGTGTATGGCTCGAAATGATCAGTGACCTCATTTGTGGGAAGGTGACGGCTAATCGTGCATTTGCCTCAGTCTAAAGTTTAGCTTAAGTCCAAAATCGACGCATAACATCAAACTACAAATACGTTTTTTAAAAAACCATTGGCATGTTATAAATAATCGAAAAAATGAGTCATGTTCAATACGTACGAAATACAAGCATAAATACAAGTATTATAATACAAGTAATACAAGTATTATATTTTTTGACCGATTTCACGTCTCCCTTCCCTCTCTCCACCACGTTTATTGCCACTTAGGTAAAATGAGCCGTCGAGTCGACGGTTTAATAAAAACATGCCGACTACCCTACTAAAGGAATACACATTGAAATGACACCACTGGAAACGATCTGGCGAGCGCGTGTCGCGATCGATATGTAATTGATCAAATACACAAAGCACACGCGCTCACGGTGTACTCTTGCGTGCGAACAACATAATCGCGCAGCCGTCGTCAATTCATTATTGGAAAACTTTTTTCGTGAAAACTTTCGACGAGCTCGCCCCCACGATTCGCGTTCAAGTTGTTGGCGCGCCATAGCGACGATACCGTGCATCGTTCCCCGGCAGTGTCCATGCGTCGACCGTGCACGTCGCGCGGTGGGATAAAAATAATTTTATTTCAGTTTTTTAGTAAAATTACAAAAGACATTATTATTATTTGTCGTTTAAAAAAACAAAAACCAAATATAAACCATATGTTTCATGGTATACGCACTTAAACTGCTTACATTTAACTCTATGTCATTATTTTCACCGGTTTTATCGGTATCACTGTTCGCAAAATGTTCCTCTTGTTCATGATCCTGCTGCGGAGTTCGCGTGTAATCATGTACTCGTTCCGTCGCTGCGTTCAGTTCAAACTTTGGTTGAATGTGCGTACCGAAAGTGATTTTGATTTTTTACTCAAGAGAGGAGAGTAATATAATTTGATATAAATAAATAATATATGTATACATGTGTGTGTGTGTGTGTGTGTGTTACATCGCTCGTTCACATGTTTCTGAATATCATTTGTGTACTTAATATTATACATATACCCCGTATATATTATATACAATTTCATTTATCAGGTGTCATATAAAATTTAAAAATTTTTACGGTAAAAATGTAAATAAAGATACATACCTACACCTTCACAGTTAATTATTTTTAGACAGAATACCAAAATTTAGTAAAAATAAAATATGATATAATCATTAAGTGTATACAATTAAATTTAATACTGTACAATAAAAAAATAAATACTACAAAAATATTAAAATAAATAATCTTTATGTAAAACGACCAATGTTTCTCAATCTATTAATTTTTTCCCTTCTCTAATTTTTCATATTCAGTCGGTGATTTTTCCATATTTACTCACAATTTCATTAACTTTGTTACGATGAATTGCTAATTGAATTGATGTAAAATTACTTTGTTTGACAATAAATTTCTAATTCGAAATAGCACTTTAAAAATATAATACCACGTCAAGCTAAGCATTTATTTATTTATATAAACTTTTTGTGTATTTCTTTATATATTTACAAGTATTAACCAAAAATAATTTTTAATTTTTTAATATTTAACTTAAACATAAATTATTATCATTCAACAAATAACCTGATCAACACTATAGTAGACTTGAGATGATTTCAGTTAGGTCGAAAATAATCCAGAGGGGAGGGCATGGCGTCCCTATACCTCGTCCGCCTGAATATCAGCGCCATTGGTACGCAATGATAGCGCCGGATTGGTTTGTGATCCGTTTGCCTGCGAAAATGATTTCCCATAAAACAAAGTGTACAATATACACTGTATATCATAACAATATCAAAACGGAACGGAAACGCGAAACGGTCGAACGGAGCGTGACGGCACTCCGCGTAGGCAATTCTGTTACGTTCGCGTCGTCGACGAACGATTTTTTTTTTCGCGTCTTTTTCTCCGCCCCAAAACCCTCTTCCGTAAAAAACGGAAACGCATCCGTCCGCCACTGCGCTGCATGAATATTTTTATTGTTGCACGTTTTACCGATGTTATATTTTTACACCGCCACACGGCGCTGCGATACACCGTTGTGAGTGCTACTACTACTGCGATATATGACTGTATCGAACTCTGCACCGTAGATCGTTCGCACACTTTTCCCCCTTGCACGTCGTTTTTTTTTATTCGTATCGGACGTAAATAATGCACCGAGCATGCCCGCACGTGTACGCGCACACGCGGGTGTACACGTCACATACGGCCGGGTTGAATTAACATGCAGCACCGAGTCCTGCTGATCTTACGTACTCGAAACGAACATCCCTTACGCGACGTGTTCGATATTTTCGGTTTCGTCCTTCAGCTAGGATTCGTTTGATGTAGGTTTGTTTTGTATTGTTAATGAGTATAGTATATTCAATGAGTACGGTAGTATTTGATTTCCACTCTCAGTCGATCGGAATTCTTCTATTCCATGGCCGCCTCATGAACAATACTGAGTTTTAACTCATGCACACACATACACACAAACAAAAGCGCCCCGTGTTAAACTTACAAATAAAATCATTTCGTATTCATTACTTTCGTAAAATACAAATTGTGTATTTTAATCATATAATATGTTATATTATTCTATTATCAAGTCACTGTCATAGACGTACATTCGTCTTTCGTCACAGTTTCTTCAAGTTGAATATCTTGCCAAATGTACATAAAAACATAGTCCTCAATTATAACTTAATTAATCAGACACTTTAATGATCTACGTAACACATCTATTGCGTCCCGGCCTGAATATTCAAAATTAATTTTCAATTTAATTTTGAACAAAAAAACGAACAGAAGTAAAATGTCCTATCTGTCGTGTATATTGACTAATGTATCAATATCAAAATGTTTTTACTCTGAAATGATTATTACTAGTATTGTTAATGAAAAAAATGTGTTCGGTCGAATATTTCGAACGTGATAGTATACTACGCGAAGATCGATTAAACCGTATACAAAAGATGTTTGTTTGGAATAAATACTTAACAGTTGCATATCTAAAGCTTTCGGATCATTCCAATCCTTTTGATCCTTTCATCGTTATTTAGATTTCAAACGTCTATAACTTTTTCGTAAAAAAAAAAAAAAAAACGATTTAACCGTGTACGTTTAAAACGATATCGTCCGCATTACAATGTTATTATTAATAAGGCAACTGTGTATGACGTACTATACACACCACGTATTGTTATTTTAAATGTTATTCACGTGTTTAATCCGTTTCAGATCCTGTTGCCACAGCCTATCAATTGTCCGAAAGAAATTTACGACCTCATGTGCGAGTGTTGGCAGCGAGACGATAAAAGTCGTCCGAACTTCCGGGAAATACAATTATTTTTACAGCGAAAAAATTTGGGTTATAAACCCGAATGCGACCCTTAAAACATAAGCCTACGGATTCGTGTTTGCTTAAAGCTCCGTTGTGCCATACATATTTTATACTACCTGTGTACTTGAATATTCCGAGCTCGTGAATCGTCCCGTTTTTATACATGTATTTTTTTTTTCTACGCGCATATATTTATATTATATCGGTATTGTATTTTAACGTGTACATAATATTTTGTTACGAATCGTACGTCCCTACGACGGCGAAAAATAATATTTTTGCCAACATTTTTTTTTTTTTTTCGTTATCTGAATAATAATATGTATTTTAAGTTTTACGTTTAATTTTCAAACATTATCGTTCCGAATATCGCTTCCTGCAAGCATATTGGTTGGGCATGATAGTGAGATTAAAATACGTCGATCTTCAAACTTATTACTAAACTGTAATACATATTCCACTAAAACGGTATATGTAACATACTCATGTGTTTCCGTGTGTATGTGTGTTTCCATGTGTTTCCGTGTATGTGTGTGTGTGTGTGTGTGTGTGTGTGTGTTAAATGTTGTTTAGTTTGGGATCACCTTGAAGTATTATGATTAACGTGTACGGTTTAAACATATCTTACGATAGACTATACCCATTTTTCACTCGATAAATAGAATCGATTGACCGTTCGCGCATCCGTCGAAACTCGTAACAATATTGTAATATATTGTTTCCGGAATAACAATAACAATATATATATAGGTACCTATCCCGTAAGAGTTAATTACCGTGTTGTGTAAATATTATTATTATATAGAAATTCTAATTAACGTATCAACGTACATTTATGATTCAACGATGTGTATACTACTCGTATTATGAACTAGTGTTGTTATTAATGATGTTAGTTCGATCCTTGGATCTGCACTCTATTATCATATGTTAACATAGTATACGTAGTGTAGGTAGTAGTCACCAAACACGTGTTTAGAGAATTAGACATTTTTTCTCGTGAAATAAAGTAAAATGGAATTTGTTCAAAATTATCATTGCGGCGGAAATTATGAAACAGTTAATTTATTTTTTAAACGAAAAAGAAAAGCGTAAAACAAAACAGTATGTTGATCTTTACGGTTAATTCATTTTTTTATTTTTTTCGCAACACATTATTACCTCTACATCGATTTCGTTAGCGTATATCATTATATAGGTGTACCTTTTAATGTTACATGAAAATTCTGGATTCTTCAACTTTGTGAGGTGACTTTATACCCAGTAAAAATTTTATATTTACTAATTTAAGGTAGATTTAAAATTATAAAATATAACTGTTAAATTGTTTTAATCTTTGACATACATACATTTTGATTATTAAATTATTTATTATACTAATATTTTATAACTTTATTTATTATAATATTTAACCAAATGTAAACTGGCAAATTATTTATAGAGTTTAATATTTTTAATTTTCACTTAATTATAGGCGAAAACCGTATTTCAAAATACACTCATGTTATAAATATAAATTATAGGTTGATGACTGTTGAATTTATCAAAAAGACAAAAATATGTTTAACTTCAACTTAAATTCGTTTAGAAATCTTACTATTAGAAAAAAAAAAATAAAACAAATACTATTTTCACGTTATCATTTGTACAAAAAATTAAATTACAAACAAGCTGACGCAATAGGTTCTTTGATATTTCCAATTATTTTGTAATATGGTATAAATAATCACTTTTAAATTTATTTTAACATTTACATAAATGTGAGTTATCTATATATACAGATCAATATATACTGCATGAGTATTATGGATAAAATATTGATAATTTTCTTTCGTTCTCTCATTTCACATGCTCGTATACTTAGTTTCTTACATATATTTTATCTTAGACTATGAGGATCATTATTTAATCATTTAAACATCTATCGTTTTTCCGTCTTCATATTTAAACAATCGATTTTAGGCATCAGAGCTTAATAATTTTTGTTTGTGTATGTGTAACTATATTTTGCTAACCTTATATAATTAGATGAACCAGCTCGTCATTGTACTTATATTTTTCAGAAACAAAAACACTTAAATTTATAAAACAAAATAATGCTTATACTATTAATCATTTTTATAGATTATAATGGTTTATACCGTGTAAAAAAGTCACTTCACAAAGTTTATTAATCCTTCTCTAATAAATATTGTTCCCGTAACATAAATATAAAATAACACGATCAACTTAAAAATATATCAGTGATTGAAAACTATATCAATACATATGGGTGTATTATAATTCATATTAAAATTAAGGGTAATGTGATATTATTACAATATTATATCAAATCGCGTTCAACAATATCAATTAAGACATTCGTTCATATCTTTATTTTGAGACATCTTCTCGTACGTATATGATTTCCAAACTTTAAACACCACGGTGCGTTCTCTTCTACCACTTTGCTATAAACAATATGTGTAGTATAATATATATTATCAAAAGGTCATATAACTGTACATTTGGATATTTATGTTTAAACACAGGACTACTTTATAAGTGTGTGTATTATTAAATATGATGATTTTTATAAGTCGTATTAATGGTGCTAAAATGATATATCACACGTACGCGATTCGTTTACGTATGTAATAACAATATTATAGTAGGTTTAAAATAAGAATGATATTATAGCTTGGCAAAAATGGTTTGAATATTTATTTTTACCTGATCGGATTTACTACTATTTATTTATTTTTCTTTTCTTTCGTACTGGTATACTCTATTTATTATTATAATTATTTATATGTATATATATATACATATACATATTATTTATATAAAATAAGAACATTTTGTGAAACTAATTATCTAAATAACTGTTAATTTATTATAAATTTGTGTAATGTAAATGGCACGAAAAGGTCAGAAATGCGTGTACATAAAAGTATAATGAGGGGCAATATACCTGAGGCACAATAACCGTACGCAATCACATATTTTTGGCCACACGAATTTCTGACCACCCACTGTGTACCATCCACTAACCAATACCTAACGCCTAATGTTATAGTATATATTTATACAACATATAGGTATGTTATATAAATAATGTGGTGTATAATAGACTAGTGTCGGTTAAGTATACGTCGGTGTTTAATTTGTGTGTAATGCATAACTATAATCTATACATAACTATATCTAGTCATTTTTAACGTTATCACTAATCTTATCTGATATTGATATTATTTTCTTAAACGTATATATTATATATTTAATTATTGTGTAAGTAAATCGATTTTATAATAAAAAAAACGTTACGCATGTACGTGTATTATGTAATCTTAAAGTGTTTATTATTATATTGTATAGAAGCTCAGGGTCTCTGAAACGTGGTAGTTATTATTTAATAATGTTTTCTCCGAAACAACTCTTAACATAATATCACTATGATTATGACTTGTCCATGACGAAATAAAAACAATCTTACATAATTGTTAAAGGCTGGGCTATGTGTCATTACATAGTTGTATTTCGGAAAATTAATTTTTTTCGGTATATGTATATGATAAATATTTTTTTCTTATCGTCAACGGTAAATTCTTTTTATGTGTATACAACTGTTAAGAAAAGTAAAAATATAAAAAACAATTTTCAATTTGTATTACAAAACAACATAATCGGTTACGGTACATAACGCGGGAAATGCGCGGTTTATATTAAAACGTAATTTTTCGTAATATAAAAAACATTTATTTTTCGTGATCATATTATACTAAGTTTAATAGACATATATTTATTTTGGAATAAGTAAACGATACAGAACGAGGTATTGTCTTCTTTCGGTTAAAAAATGAAAAAAAATTAACCGTTACGTGGATTTTCGTTTGAACAATGTTTTATCCGATGGTTTATTTTACACACAATTAATGTTTAACTCATTTGCTCTATTAAATTCGCACAATGATTTAACACATTACACCTATATGCTTCACTATCTCACCAAAAGCCACCCTCCTTTACGTTTAAATTAGAAAAAAACGTTTAATGCTATACCGTTTTATAGATATCTGATATCAAAACTAATATTTTGCCTCAAACCATTGCTTTCTCGTAAACATTACAAATGTAATCTCTATTATAATTTACTAAACACAGCTACTGTGGTTCATGCTCATCTTTCTCGGTTGTTTTGATGATCAAAAAAACCTTATACATCGTTGAACCTCATTAATTACATACGGTGTCTAAACAATTGAAAGTTTAATTACAATGTATTATTACAATACACACCGAATGCTTAACCCTTGATCATTACACAATAATATTATGACAATACATTACATTACCGAAATGTAGAAATATCTATTTTTATTTTCTTGCTGCGCATAAGAATATTTGACCCATAGTTTGAATCATGTTTAAGAACTTAATTTAGATATTAAAAAAAAAAAATTAAAGTATACATTTCTAACATTTTTTCTTATAATAACTCTTATTATAACTCTCTAGTTCTTCTTCGAGTACCTACTGAAAACTGATAATAGCTTTGAATAAAAAAATATATAAAAATTAATTAATTTTTTAAGGCCGTTTAATCTTCATAATAAAACTCGATCAGTAGCTAAACATCCATATAAAATATTTCAATAGTTTTAAATATTAATTTGGTAAGTTTTCCAGATAACTTAGATTGAGATATTGGATTGTGTGTGTCAGCGTCATTCACTTTGTCCATCGCATCAGATATCATTTCTTCTAATCATTTTCACATTACACATACATGCAAAGGTTATATTAATGAAAATATTGTATTTATATTGATATTATCATCACCATCAGCCAACAGAAATTGAGAATGAGCTCATTTTAAAATTCCGGTTTATGTATTCAGTCTAGGATACGTATGTATTATTTTATTTATTTTTTTTTTTTTTATAATCATTTTAAAATGTACTAAAACATTTAAATATAAACGTCTTGGTGTAGGTAACTTTTTAAGTAAATTCTATCCAAAAATACACAATTTTTTCTGTTTTTCTGTTAACTGAGGAATTCGAAAATTTATAACTATAGTACCATCGGTGTTCATCATAAACCCCTAGAGGCGTTTGATGAAACTTAATAAGCAATCTTACATCCCTGCGTTACATTAGTGTTGTATTTTGTATATGTTATTAATAGATCGTTGTATATTTTCACTCGGAAGTTTTTCTTTTAATTTTCGTTTTTTCCCAGCTTGATAAAAATGTGTTTTACAAATAAATCGGTATTCACAATACCTCTATACCTGCAGAGGTTCCCAAACTTTTAATAGAAACATTCTTTTGCTGAATAATTTTAATTTTTGACAACCAACCCAAGTCATGGATGATGCACTATTTTCATGTTTTCCTCATCAATATAGTCACGATCAGATAGAACCATATGATCAATATTTATTTATATTTTATATGATAACCATTTTAAGACATTGAATATAAGTAATAAACCTTTATACAGTGAACAGAAAACATATATTATACATTCAGTTCTTAAACAATGAAAATACACATCATTCGATCAATAAAAAATGTAATCACGATCCACTGTTTGGGAGCCTTTAGCCTATGGGTACAGATTCTATACGATCAATTGTAAAATTAAAATTAAACACTCCCGTTACCGTTTGATAACATACCCGTTTATTAATTAATTAATTTTTTTTTTTTGTTTTATACGGATTCGAAAGGCCAACAATGGTCGAATAATCCGATGCGATCCCTTCTCTCCGCCCCTCAGCACAGGCGTACATCACAAAATGTTAACCGTTTGCATTAGTAACACACAACCTACATATTTTTAATTTTAATTATATACTATATACATATATACGATACGTGTGACTGATTGCATAATTTGATAATTTGTTGACAATATCTTCTCTGTACATACCATGTACCATATTCTACGAAGAAAACTGTTGATAATTATTCGTGTTACTATATAACTAAAATTATATTAAGATAAGTTTTTTACGTTGTTTTTGTATTATCTCTGTGATTTTTGTTTTTCCTTTACTTTTTTTTTTTTTTTTTAAAGAAACATATTTTATTATTAGTAATGTACAGATCATGTCTATTGTCTTTACAATAATTTGTCAAATATATAAAATGCTTTCATATTATGTTCAATGTGTTAAATCAGTTATGAAAAACAAAAGATTTTTCGTATTATTATATGATTTTCGTTGTACTCGGTTTGTTAAGGAATATCACTCTACGATCAGCAATTGGATAACCAATCATCATAAGAGTCGAAAGGTGATCGATAAATATACGTATATTTTATATTTTGTAATAATTTGAAAGAATGCAGAAGCATTAAAAAGTTTTTTTTTTTCTTATTAATAATGTCATGCGGACATAACCCGTTTCACCCAAATTTTGTTTTTAAAAGATTCCCGTTTCATCCAGACTAATTTAAATAAATTTAAAATTAAGTAGGCAATGATTATTTTAAATTATACAATATGGTAATATTTGAGTATCATTTAGCGTTATCCAGAGACACAACACCACGAGGAGGCGATGAAGAAACTCTTCATTCTCCAAAAAAAAATTTTTTTACAATTCACAAAAATGGTTCATTTAACAAATTTAAAATTTAGTTCACAATATTTATTAAAACGTACCTATTATTAAAAAATCAAATTTACAAAATACTTATAAAAAATATTTCGATAAATATTTAGAGCCTTATCCCTAAATGCGATTGGTGGACCGTAATAATGAAAATCCCTGCAATTACATAATTTGTGTACAGACGGGCATTGTGTTCTATCATTTATGTACACGAATTGTAATTGAATCAAATTTTAATCGAAATTCGAAATATAAAAATTAAAAATTTACGGAGATTTATATTTTAACGGACTACCCATTTGCTTTAAGAATAGGCTAAATTGGGTCCATAATTAATGTGCACATACAACGGAACCAAGGGCGTTGAGCTTTTAAAATTTTACTCAGGCCAAATAAAAATACAACGGCCTCTCAAGCACCCCAGCGACCACGAATCTACATTTTTACTTTGCATAGAAAAATAATTTGTACTCTCACATTACAAGTATTAATCATGATTCATACTAGTTAGATATGTATCGACAAATAACGTTCCGAAAAATATTTTATTATGTATTTTAATTTAGGTAATTCACATTTGAACGTTTCCGTTCCTTTCATACAAGTACCGATTCGACAGAGTCCGCCGGCATTCCTCGTGAAAATAATCGTGAGGTCAGAACATTGCAAAGTGCAAACCATAGATCCCTCTGATCCTCGGTCTCATTTAAAAAAAAATATGGTCAGGCCGCGGCTTGATCTAAGCATAGGGTTCGGCGTCACTGGATGGAACATTATCGGAATATTTGGCATATACATGCACAAACTATATAATAACATTTAATATGTTAAGAATTTCAAATCATTAAAATTCGGCGGTTCAAGAAAATGTACCTCTGGCAACTTTATAAGTTACTTTTTACTTCAACTAGTAAGTTTATTTAATTGGAAGGTCTGAAAACATAATACTAATTAATGTTATGTTCTTATCTAGGTTTATTTAAGTATAAAATTAATTTATCGTTACTTTACAGTTATAATAATCATTGCTTAATAAGTGTGAATTGCAGAAGCAGTTTTCATTTTACACAAGAAAGTTCAATAATGTATGGTTTGAAAATATAAAAACCAAAATTGTATTTTTTCATTTAGGTTAAGACCAAATGACCATAAAAATTTGTCAATTAATTAATATTTTCGAAATAATTTAAATTTCGTGTTTAGTAATATCAAAATAGAAGATCGGTATTATAATAGATAATAATTTAAATTTTAAATTGGAACGTCTGTAACTGATGAGCTACTGCAATTATTGTAATTACTACAACAGTATAGGTACAGAGTTGAATTCAGAAACTTAATTATTTTCATGAGGAGTTTTTGTAAATATAATTTTTTTTAACACCAATTTTATCCACGGAAATGTATACTGCAATACTTTACATTATTTTGTTTATCTGAATTAAATACAGGTAGGGAAAAAAGAAAATTATCCTTTTGCGTAATTGCATTTATATTTGAAAAAATAAACGTAATATTAAACTTAAAAACCGTGTAAACATTTTACGCGGTTCTTCTATCATCAGACTGGGATTCATTTTTTCTGTCATGGATTAGGCCTACTGGGGAAATCACGATAAAAAAAAACGCTCTACATGTAATACAATATACACAATCATATCAATATATATATATATATAGATTTTTTATTACTAAGCCACGACCTATCTGGTCATAAGTCACATTAATTATTTATAATAATGGAACAAAACATGTCATCCGTAGATGCTTCGTTGCTGAATTCTAGGATGGTCAGATGGTCACCCATCCAAAAAACTAGTAACGCAAAATGCAGCTTAACCGCAGCACCCGGAAGACGACTGCGGCTGAAAACTGTGCCACACCATGCTCCTGGACGTATAATTATATCTTGTTGACTGAAAAAATTAATCAATAATTCAATTACGGAATTTCATCACACAGTAAAAATAAACAGTAAAATAATATTAGAGAAGTTATGGCAGATAAGCTTCAAGGTTTTAAATCTAATGAAAAATACTTGAACCAATGAAAACCTATCATTTTTCGCCTGCAGCAACTCATTGAGAACAATTTCAGGAAATAACAACATCCAAACAAAAAATGAAAAATAAAAACTGTGGGGATTTTTTGGTATTATTCTGTATTTTTGTGGAATAATAAAACAAATTTTTTTTTTTTTTTTTAATTTGCCTTTGTTCGCACATTGAAAAACAAATTTATAATATTGTATTAATAGACACGCAGGCGCAGTACCTACCTATTATCAAAGAACTATTATCACAGAATAATATGAAATGTTTTAAAATATTGTAAAAACGAATAAAGGGTCGGAAAACAAACTGGAATTAGATATTACCGCTTGATCGGGATTAGTCGCTGCGTAATACATTATATAAATTAATAATCGTAAACATATACTATAATAATTGAAGGTAAAAGAAGAGTATAAAATACATTATGCCTATTGACTGATAAGGACAGCAACTTTTAGCGATTTCTCTGAGCAACATTAACCTTTTCAGACCCACCCACATTTTTTTATAGAAAAAAAATGTTGTTTTCAATATTATGTATAAATATGAACTTTATAATACTTAAAAATTAAAAAAAAAAATTCGATCATTTTTTTGGAAAATTCATGGTAGTACACTATGGTGTACTCTGGTTTTCAATCGATGTGAATTATTTTGGTGATATGAGTAGTAAATTGTACACATTTAAATTTATTTACACATTAATTATAACTTTAAAAGGTATCTAAAACGTATAAAACAATACAAATAAATATATAAAAAAATATATAAAATTAACAAAAAAAACCAATTTAATGTAAATAATAATTATAATAAATAATAATTTACAAAAATACTGGTACCTACCTAAGTATTTATAAAACGATAAAAAAAAAACTAAAATAGAAAAAATTATATTATTTCATTTAAATGGTACTAAAATTTTTATACCCCATGGGTTAGATTTATTTCTTATATACTGTTTTATTGATAAATGGCCCTTAAAAGGGACCATTTGTTCGTCAATACAAATATTCCTCTCCATAGGAAGAGAATTACATTTTTTTTTAATTGTATCGTATAGTGGCCGAACTTTTATAAAAACATCTTTATTGCCTGGTGGTATTGTCATATTATCAATAAAATGAATATTTGATCGAATTGAAAAAAAAACGATCTTTTGTCATATTATCTACAACAGGAGGTACGCGAGTATCTTTTTCCCAGTACATACGGACACGAGGATTATCTAACTCTTCGTGTGGAAAGTCGTCAATTTCATCACCAGACAACGAATTATCAATTTCTGAATCATCTGCGTTCAGTATCGTTAAAATATCAGAGGACCGTAATTTCGACACTTCGATTATATATTATTTTATTATAACAATACAGAAAATAAAACCTTTATATGGTAATGATTTCCATAAACAATATAAACGCAGTAATAAAATAACTCGAAATAATAATAGGATTATCATATGATTTTTTTTTGTCATGAAGGCCTACCGTACACGTTAATGTACCTCCATATTAACTGATATAAAACTCGTAAAATTGTATTCATGACAACGAAAAACGTTTGTATAGATTCGTTACTAACTTCACTACCAGGAAAAAAAAACCGTTGACCAAATCAAGTGCAATATAACAGATAAGCAATAAATCATTGTAGAAATTTAATTATTGATATTATATCTATAATTAAGTTAAAACTATCATTTTTATCGATTGTTATTCTTTCTATTACTATTTTAATCGGGTTTTTACCGGATTATATGTATACTAAAATAACGTTATCGCTTGTTCGAACTAATCTATTAACAAGATGCTACGTAATGAATTATTGAAAATAAGGTACACTACAGTGACCCTGGGATCTGAAAAGGTTAGATTAGATTAAGTAGAATCCATAGGCAGGATGTATATTTTAAAAACTTAAAACGAATTGTATGGTCTCTCGAATACGTGTCATGTATATGTGCCAAGTTTCTGCGAAAAGTGAATAAATGTCTGTTAATATACAAGGCTGATTAATTTTTATCGAGCACGGGCTAATCAATATTCTCCGTCATTATGTGCATCGTATTCATTAGCAGTGTGCAACACATGAATGGCGGGTACCGGTTAATCGTTGCATCAAACCGAGACGAATATTATGACCGTGCGACGTTGCCCGCGGACTATTGGTCAGAGGACCGGGATGTGATCGGAGGTAAGACGTGAGAACATTAATATTATTTGGTGTCATGGTGATTTTTATGACACGATTTAATGAAACACTATTTAAAAAATACGATCGTTGGCACCGTTCCGATGCGCAGGGCGCGATTTGGAACCGTCGAGCGTAGGTGGTACATGGATGGCTCTAAACGTTCGCGGCAAACTGGCCATTCTGTTGAATGTATTCCAACGCGATCAACGGCCGAACGCCAAGTCTAGGGGTCGACTGGTCGAGGATTTCGTTAAAGGCGATACTCCGGCCCCGGACTACATGCAAAGATTGCAGGACGTGTACAACGGGTTTCAACTGATTACAATCACTATGAGGTTAGCATGAATAATAATTTCAACAGTCGGTCGAGTTACATTGTGTGAGACAATTTAGACATCTGCAAATGTATATATAGTGAATCATTTTTAGAAACTCATTTCTTTACCAACTGCATCAAAGACGATAACGGTCTGAAAGTGGAAAGCTTGCCAAACGGCGTTCAAGGTTTCGGCAATGCTCCTTTTTTAAAGGTGGCAAATGGTGAAAGACGTTTCAATGAAATTGTCAAGAAATATGGGCATAGCAATACTAAAGATATATTGATTGAAGAACTTTTAAATCTTTTGAAATGGGACAAAAAGTAAGATAAATAATTACTGTACGGAATAACAAATTTAATCTAAATATATTTCAGGCATTATCCTGATGAGATGATAACCAAAATGTCTCCAAACCATCAAGGCAATGATGGTCAAAAATTGTACAGCTCTGTTTTTGTGGAGATACCAGCTCTTCGATATGGAACTCGGTAAATTATAATCATAAAAAAAAAATTATACGATTTAATTATTTATTTATTTTTAATTTTAGAACCCACACAATTATATTAGTAGATCACAATGGCAAAATAGATTATAATGAATGGACATTGTCAAATTCAAATTGGGAACAACGTTGTTTTACCACGGCACTAAAATGTAGAGCAGATTGTTAATTAATTATATTTTCTTAACCAGTAGTATAGTTATAAATATTATAAATTGTACTTTATATTTTTATATTGTATTAAAAAATGTTGGAAGACCTCGTATCTAAATTTGTAATATTTATAAGAACTTAAAAATCAATAAATGTATATTTTATTTTTCATTAAATAAATATTTCAATAACAAAAAAAAATTTTAAATTACAAATACTATTTTAATTTCATCAGGCTATAAAAATATTTTTAATGTTTTTGATGAGCTTTCTTGGATAATTTGACTTAGATATTTAAATAAATTTACATTAATTGATAAAAACATTTATCTAAACATAATTTAAACTATAATTAAGTATTAACGTTAATACCTAATGTCATATTTAATATATCAACCTTGTATTATACATTATCATTTAGTAATTATATTTTATTAAGCTAAAAAATATATAAAATGCCAAAATAATTTTCCTCTCACAACAATGACGATAAATTGATGTTATAAAATGCATAACAATTTTACAATTTTTTTGTAATCCATTTATTAGACACTAGAGTTGAATAGAGATGTTTTAGAAAATATTATATTATATAATATTACTAAATATATTACTGGTTTATAAAATTAACCATTCATCTCTAAAAATATAATTACATCAAGCAGTAAATACCGTGCTTTGATTAATAGTTAAAAAAAAGTATAAATAACATTTATTTATAAATTTAAACTTAACTTTTCTAATAACATAATTTTAATAGTAACTTAAAATGCAATAATATATAAAACTTGATAATTAAGTATAAACAGAATAAAACAAAAATGATAGTAAAAATTTTACTAGATTAAATACCATTTATACCATTTTTATCAGCTTGTTCCAGAAGAGCTTGTAAATTAGTATCAAACATTTCACATCGAATAGGCATTTCTAAAGAATAGAATGGATTTTTTAAGGCAAAATCAGCATATATCTCATAAATTTTCTTAAGAAGTTGTTCAAGACCAGTATGTGTTGGATCAGCAATAACAATAAATTTTATTCCTAAAACACAATTTAAAGTTCACAAAAGAAAAAAAGTAGGAAACTTTTATTTCATACCAGTTAAAGTTTGAAAACATTGCAGTTTAAATGTATCAGCCTCCAATGTTTCAATTCCAGAACTTCTGGGTTCTGGACTTAATTGTGATGCAATCGCAAACAACGGATAAAACATACTAGCTAGGAATATCTTTTCATTGACAGTCATCTTTGGTCGACCAAATTTCAAATTAAGTGGATAATTAGCAGCATCATCCAACATTTCTAATGCATCTTTGTTATCTTCTAGTTTTCTGCCAGACACAGGAATTCCATTGATTGCCAATAAAACATGACCAACTGAAATAAAAAATAAAAAGCATTGTTTATGTTATTCTTAGAAAAAATTATGCCTATTATTCTGCCGACTTAAATTGACATTTTAAGATTAGTAAATTAAATCTTCATTTATTATATTCCAAACTAACCTTTTTATATTTATTTCTCATTTAGTCCTAATATCTGTCTTACATTCTTCACATTATAGTTTCTGTTATACTATTCTTTATTCCATTGTCTACTCTATTCTCATGCAACTATTAAGTAAAATTAACTTTTTACATTATAGGTATCTTTTAGTTAAAAAATAAACCTATTATTTCTTTTCACTAAATCTATTTACATTTTGTCCAATGAAAAATTGTCCCTCATTATCGTTATTCTTCAGCAAAACTGATTTAAAATTCTTAAACTTATCAACATCTCTCATCTTTATAACTTGTCTTGTTAACATTTTTTGTTATCTAAACACAAAAACAATACACCATAAACTCTTTTCATTTCTAATAATCACTAGTCATTGGTTAGTAAATACAATAAAATATAATAAAATGTATTAAATACACTGTAAAATACCCATCTACATTAGTTCATTTATTTAAACTATTTATTACCTTTGATGTTGTCTCGCTGACCAAATGACACCAACAATCGGTTATTTTCATATGACAATTTTAAATCCAACGGATAACTAAACGTCTGTTCAGTTTCAATTTTTGGCACTGTATAGTCGTAGTTGAATATTAGCCCACCCGATTTGGATACAATGTACACACCGTAAATGCCCATTATAATTGAGAATAGAACTCGATCAGTTATTTGTCGTGAAATCCATCAGGTAAAAACTTAATTAATTCAATTGAGAATAAAAACCGGTTTATATTGAGCGTACAGAGCAGAAGTCTACTAAACTTAACACCAATCAATGTCATTAACCAACAATTACATTTAACACTAGTTCGCTGTAGCAGTACCCACTATTTAACAATAATTAATAATTATAAACTATAGTAAATGATGGTTTTAATAACAAATTAATAAATAATTTTTATTTATTATCATAATATCAGTAATATTATTCAAAATATGTTCTGTGGATATCACAAATAACTGAGACATAGATAAGAGAATGTATAAACAACTTGACCAAATATTTGGTCTCATGCATATACAGCGCTATGGTGGCATTCTTTTGAACCAAACACCAAATGGTGGGGTTGCAGTAAGTAATCTAATTACTGTTATACTATTTTATAATGTTATATTCAAACCCCCTTCCAAAATATTAACGAATTTAGAAAAACGTTTTACTTAGTATTTTATATGGTAAATTAAGTTTAATATTATAAAAACATTTTCCCGGGTTGTTTACCATGTACATATAATCGATTTTCGATCTAGATATAGATGTAGTAGGTACTATAAAATTAATAATTACCAAAATTATTATCTTTTAAATACATTTGAAATAAGTGGTATGAAAAATATAAACCCCCCACCCAAATAAAAAAAATATCTAGGCACGCCACTGAGTTAAAGGTATTGTAATATATTTATTTCATGACAATAAAAGTTAGTAATATCATTGATTATAGAATATTCTATAATCAATGGTAATATTAAAAATGAATAAACTACAACATATGATTTTAATACATTTTAAATTAATAAAAAGAAAACATTTTTTTAAACAATTTACTTTTATGTTTATTAATTATGACAAAACATACCTATTACACATAAATTATTATAATCATAAAGTACAGATAAGAACATAACTTATGTTATTCATGCTAATAAATGATAAAAAAAATAATAATTCAGTTTATAATTTTAAAATACATAACATATAATTATTAAAAACAATTAATAATAAAATACAATTACCTAGTTAGAAAAGTATTTAAACAAATGCAGTTTTAAATATTTGTATTTATTATTATTATTTATTTATTTATATCATATTGTATAACTAAATAATGATAGATTATGTAACAAAATAAAAACATTGACTTCCAAGACTAAAGAATAAATACAAAATCTACCTACATAATTAATAAATAACGAGCAAAACTATAATGACAGAATAATATTCTATTGTCAGTGAACATAGATGGCATTATTGTTATCTATCTCCGTGTCACAGCATATTTATATATATAAATATATATATATATATGTATTTATTTTGTATACATTTTTATACGGGGGCTTATTTAGACTTACTTCTAGAAGGGGCAACTCATATTTTTTTTCAATTCAGGCTAAAAATGTACAAGTTAAATGTTGGTAATATTTAAATCGGGTGAATCCTTGATATTTGTGGTTTTTTTTTTAATCTTATGTCAGATCCACTTAGAATCGACTTTAATGTAGTTCTTTTTAAACACCTGTCCGTGTTTTGAAAGTTACACGTGTTTTATTTGATTTTTCACTAAGTATGGACCCGCAAAAAAGCCCAATTCAGTATCACAGCCACACATAATTTGATTTTGTTATGAAATGATCCACATTAAAAAAAATTATAATGTGTATCTCACAAACTCGTATAATTGATTCCTTAAATACAGATTCAAGGGGGGTGATCGCTCCTGCTTTTATATACTAGTTTATAGTATATTCTATGATGGTTATTCAATGTTTTCTTGACAATAATATTATCAACAAACTTTGGTGGTTATCAACTTATTAATAATATGCACTGGTAAATAATTATTATAGTAAATAACGTTGATCAAGCATATTGAATAAATTACTATATATTTTTAATTTTTTTATATTTATAAATATTATAATTAACTCATAGCAGAATGCATTTATTTCAACACAACTATTACAAAATGGGTTATAATTTTCTGGAAAAATAAACAATTATACTAAATATAATCAGAATCATATATGACATTGTGTAATAAAAATTCTAAATAGATGTATTATTTTGTATACATCATGTATACAAAATTGAACACTAAACGATTTACTTGTTTGACGATATATATTTATAAATATAATATAATGTTGTGTCACATAAAGTGAAAATACATAATTTTTGTTTTGTAATTCTATTTAAATATTTTTAATTCTTTGTTGTCTTATTCTGAGGTCTACAATATAAATAATAAGTAATAAATTGTTTAAGTAAAATTTTTATTATTTATAGTTATTTATTACTAAAGGTACAGCTTAATACAATCTATGTCAGTATGCAAAGTAGAACTTACTTGGTTTATAAGGTAATATCAGTAAGAAATTTAACTATAAAAATATAATTTAGTTAAATTAAAAATAAAGTAGCAAAAAAGCATTTATATCGGAATACAATAAAAAAATTATTTACGGAAAGTATATAAAGTATTATGTTGATTAAAAAATATCAATTATTCATTATAAAAAAATTTTACAAATAGTTATAAAATATAAAAGAATCAGTAGAATTGCATTTCAAATAAATTTATAATTTTTTAGGTAAAATAGGAAATAATTTACTTTCCTTGAATTATAACACTTTCATACTTCCATTCACGGCCAACACTGAAACAAATCAAATATATTAGCAATTAATTTTCAATGAATCAGTTTTAAGTAATTTAAGTTAAACTCACCGACATTGGGGACCACATTTGACTGATCTACACGATTCACATGGTAGAAAACATCCAGGACAATCAGTATCACAACAATCACAAGGACCATCATCAACTGTTAATGATTCCGAATCCGATTCATGTCTAAAACAAATTGTAAACAATTTTAATAACAGCCATCGCACAAGATATAATTTTAAAAAAATGACACACTCACTCTACTTCATCTAACTCTAGACTGTCTAATTTTTTCTTTTTTATTCTTGGAGACAGGGCATCAGTATTAGGCGAACTCATTTTTGAATAAATGGTTCTTACTTTCCACGATGAAGTAATGGATTTCGTTACGGTTTCATAATGAGTAGTCCAGTAGGATACAAGTTCATTTCACGAACCATAGACAATACTTACTAATAATCCGACAACCACGGAATATTACAGCCTCTTCTTTGTTATCGTGATCTGACAGTTTATTATTATCCATGAGTAACCTAACCCCCTAACCTAACCCCATGGAATAATAATAGTACAGACAAGGTGGATATATAAATATCCACTTTGAGTACAGATAAAAATATTTATGTGAGAAATGATAAGTGTGAATTGTGTTATTGATTACAGAGCGACTTTACCGCTCTCTATTTCCTATTCTCAGAGCCAGAATCGAATTTAGACTAAGATAACACATAGTCTGGCGGGGGTGATTAAAAAAGATACCAATAAGGGGGATGATAAATAATTGTCGACCATCAATATATCATAATTTCGATATAATTTCAATATTATTGTCTAGTACCCATTATCGATATCTTATATCTTATGTATTATGTACAACAAGTATTATATTTATTATATACAGATATAGCGATTGCTTGTTTGTCCGCAAAAATCACAAAAACTACTTGTCAGATTATTATGAAATTTTAAATAAAAATTCTTTATTACATGTGGAAATGTCATAGGCTGTATAGATTACATTTTTTTTAATGCATTATTTGTGAAAAGAAACTTGTAAGTTCTTTCACAAAATTGAAAACAATTATTGATTACATATTTTATCGGGAAAAATTAGGAACCCCGTCCCGGCTTTGTGCTAGACTATTTATAGACTGCCTATCTGGTTTTATCGCTCGCTCATATATTTATTAAAAGTATATCAAATATTATAATCTTATACACTCATATATTAAACGTTTTTTTGGATAGACTCTTCGATTTGATGAACGACTATAGTGTAATCGTTCTATGCACAGGCCTGTATTTAAAAATTTTTCGCCCCCGGGTAGGTATATAATTTATGCCTCCTCCCCAAAAATAAATAATGATAATAAAACACTTATTATTTCTTCCATAATCTAGATTCTTTAATATTAAAATTAACTTATAAATGGAAATCGTTTAGTACCTTTTTTAATTAACAAATTAAATAAATTATAACATAATAAAACATTCAATTTCCTTTTTTTTTAATTAACAAATTATAATATAATAAAAATACAATTTTTTTTTAATTTACAATTTATAACACAATAAAACATACTTTTTTATTTTTTTTATTGTTTTATTTTATTTTTCATTTGGTACATAATTTTTAAAATTATTTTTGCTAAAATATTTTGCCGTCCCTGAGACCTGACGCCCCCGGGCTTGTGCCTACCCGTGCCCCCCTAAATTCGGACCTGTCTATACATATTACATGCATGCTACTCAGGCCCGTAGCTACGATGGAGGGGCAAGGGTGGCATATCCCCTTGGACCTTATCGTTGTTCCCCAATAATTATTAAATTTGCATATGTATTATTTAGTGATATATCATGCAGTATATTGTTTTTTTTTAACGCTCCTCTAAAATTTGGTCTGCCCCACCTGATGATTTGGTCTGGCCACGGGCCTGATGCTACTACGTTAAGAGCTGCATTTGAATATCAAGTTCATAATATAGGCTACATCAATCAATTATTATTTAATACAATTTATAGTTAATAAACTATATTCACCGTTAAAATGTTTTTACTTTTGAAAATTTCGGGGGGGCCACACCTCTGGATCCCCCCCAGTTACGGCCTTGATTATCGTTTTATTTATTTTTATATTATCCCTTCTTCTGCATTTTTAATTTTTTTACGTATATGTGTATGTGTATATGTATATGTATATGTGTCAACTTATATATAACTAGTATTATCAAAAGTAAAGAAACCGATATTACCGATATGTTTTGCTAACACTTAAATATATTTGGATTTACCTTACCACTTTGTACGCAAGAAGCAACATTTCATAATTAATTAAACGATATACGTACATAGGTACACATCATTGGCGTATATAGGGGGTGCCTAGTGGGCTATAGCCCCCCCCCCGAAATGTTTTAAAAAACTTTAAAATTATTTTAAACGTATGTTATATTTTAATGGTGCTTTATGCTTATTTAGAATTTGCGTCCAACGTCAAATCGTTTTGGGACATTCTGTAAATGAAACGTAGATAAGTACCACAGTGCCTTGTTAGTAATTCTTAGGTAGCAGTGGTAATTTAACTCTGTCGATAGTAGCCCCTCTCGAAAATATTTTCTATATACGCCACTGGTACACATAGGTAGGTATATATGATTTAGGTACTATAATAAATAGTATAGGTATATAGTAGGTATGTATATAAAATAAATCGTCGCAGTTTGTATAATGTATTTTATCAGTTTTGTTGCAGATTGTAAAATCTTAAATTTTTTTTTTGCCGCAGCTTACATCGACTTTTAAAAAAGGTTAATTTTTCGCATTTTACATACAGCCTCCGATGGCTGTTATCAGTTAATATGCTTATCGCCTGTATACTGTTATCGCCTTCAATTGCGGCCTACAGCTTATAGATGACTATTGTTATGGGTAAAATAAGTTTTGCCCAGGGCCTCGAAAAAGGTAACGCCGGCTCTGTCAAAAATCATATTTAGTTGGATTGATTTTTTAAATCAAAATAGTACGTTTTTGTATTTTTCGATTACAAAATATTTTAAAATAATTTTTAAAATTTTTACAATATAATATTTCGAGGTTTTATCATGTACGACACTACGTCAGTTAAAAATGTTAATATATATAATATAAAAAAATTAAATTAATTTGAATTTAAATTAAATCATGGCATATTATCATAATGTTCAGGTAGCAAATAATATTTATAATTAATTGTTATTTTTTATTACATTATTCCGTATATATTTGCAAACACTAGTAAAGTAAAACAAAAATACGTTATCCAAAATATCTAAGACTTTTATTGTACCATAAATAAAATCTATATTTGTTTATTGTTTACCGTAATCACCGTTTCATAATTTTCTGCTCTAAATGAATGATAAATTGATTGTCAATCATTTTTGTGGGCTAAGAAAAATACCATTGAGCAATAAAATGTTAATTTTAAACTATTTTATTCAACACTGGAAATAAATAATAAACAAACAAAAATCTGGTTGTTAATAGTAATATGGGTTGAAAAAATAATTCAAGAGTTCTAACGCAGTTGTTGATTTGGAATAAATCATTCACTTGACAGTTGTTAACGGTGAAAATGTATTCTTGACATTCGCTTGTGGGATATTTTTTCATAAAAACCTAACACGTAAAACATCATTACAAACGAGTGTATAACGTTATTATTATATAATAATAATAACGGAACCATATATACCCGTATACTTACTGAAAACGTATTTGGATAGTTTCGTTGGTCTCGTTTCAGGGTTTCATTACGGTTTATGACGAAAAAAACCAATGAACACTATTAATTGTTTTCATCGATATTTGGCATAGACGTCTGTGGTCCGTACCACTGCTTCAAGGTGTAATCGAACGAAAATAATCTTACGATTTATTAATACACTCTACGGATATGATGTAAAAACAAATCAATTATAGCGACGGACGCGATGTGCGAGCCCGAGACGAACAGCATTGGGACTCGAGTTGCTCAGGGAAAACGTATTTACCAGAGCTCGCAATTTTGACCGGATATTAACAAATACGTGTACACGGATTCAGTGTACTCGTCCTTGAACGTATTAATACCCGTATAATTACTCAAGAGTTCATGTATCTGAAGTACAAGTATATTTAAATTTTATATTTATATTTTACATATAAATATAAAATATTTTTACGGATAAACTTCTCCAGACAATTCTTATCTATCCGATGGACGAAAAAGATAGATTGGATGTAACTGGAAACCCACGGGCCGCCGTGCTTGCACAATACGTATTGGCGGTGAATAATTTAATCCATATTGTTTAAAATCCTTTCTTATTGTATACAAGCATCTTTTCTCGCGCAACTGTTTTGTATTTTCTACAAATCCAAAGAGTATCTACCCGTTTATAATGTAAAATAAAATAAAATTATGTGTCGTCTTAACTTTTAAAAAAAAAAAAAAAAAATTCTTCAAAGTCAAATGTAAGCCCGCACCCGGAGCGACATAACTTTTTAGTTGCTTCACCCGGCGACAGAAGGGCGACGAAACTGTCCCGTGCGGTTTCCTTTCCCATAGTTTGATATCTACGTCCGGACGCAGGCGACATTATAGTTGCCGTTTCAATTTTTTAGTGACGTATGAGCAAGTCGCATGGATATCGCTGTCATAAAACGCTGTTCTTTTTGTTGTTACAAGCTTGATAATGCAAAATGGTCACTATAGTCTGTCCAACGGTATAAATGAAATAGAAAAAAAACTGGCATTGTTCAGTAAAAATTTAAAAGAATATTCAGATGCTAATTTTTTTTTAATTTTCTTTTATTTAATTTTCCTTTGTTGTAAACATTACAGCAAATATGCTAATTTAAAAAACAAATTATGGGAAGAAGTGTACTTAAATTGGAACCTAATATTACTTTCTTAATCGTTTTTTTCCTACGTTAAATGAGAAGAATATAAACCACTGCGGTCTCCGAAAAAATCTATGATAACGTGTACGTGGATAAACGATGTGCATGTGTATTTGTTTACATAGATCATGGACCAAGAATCAAATACCCTTCCGCACAATTTTGTTTTCTAATAATTACCATGCATCCATTCTTGTTGAGTTTTGAACACGTTATCAGTGACAAAGTTAAAAATATCAAACCAGTAGTCAATAATAATAGATTATTATTTAGTACGAAAATCACACCCTCTACAATTTTACGCCCGGAGATAAGACCCCGTCTTCCTCCCCCCTAATTCCGCTATTTGTTTTTGAACACACATGCAACAGGGAGCTCTTGCACCCTGTACGTCTGCGGGTCATGAAGGTTGGACGTCGGAGAACATTGATCGGAATGCATTCAGCGGATCGTTACTCGACAACAGCACGCAACCAGAAGGTGATCGCTACCAGCACCACGGATGGCTTTTGAACGTAGCGTCTAGCCAGGGCCGTAGCAAGGGGGTGGCGAGAAGTGCCTACGCCCCGGGCATAATTCCTGGGAGAATTGAAATCTAACATTTAATGTTAACAATTACAACGATCAATGTCGTATATTTTGTTAACAATTTTCATATTAATTAAAGCAATCGTCGAAAATTATATCTAATTAGCATAATATTTTTAAATTAAAAATACATAAGGGCGCATTTTGAAGTTTCGCCCTGGGTGCAATGTTTGGTTACTACGGCGTTGCGTCGAGCGTTTGTTTTCAATTCGTCCGTGTGCTTACGCCCGTCGTAGCAATAGGACCGTCAGACAAACCTTCGCAGTGCCGAATTACCCATTAGACGGAGTAGGAGCCCGCCTTAGAACCTCACTCATTCAAGAGGCCCTGTGAAAACGGAAAACTATATTTTTTTTATTTTATAATATCTGTATTTTATTTAAGAATTTACAGGACAAAAGTCATTATAAAATATAATACATATTAAGGCCCTGTGAAAACGGAAAACTATATTTTTTTTATTTTATAATATCTGTATTTTATTTAAGAATTTACAGGACAAAAGTCATTATAAAATATAATACATATTAAGTTGTAGGTGTTATATGCAGTAATAATAATAAAATTATTTTGTAAAAAATATAAATAATATATTAATTAATTAATTTTTCTTGCTAATAAAAAAATGTACGAATAAACGTCGAATTTACGAATAAATGTCGTAATAAACATGATTTTATTTATTGATAGTAATTGGTTATTATTAAAGTTGTAAGTTTATTTTAATTATCGGATAGTAATATTAAAGATATACGTAAAAAATAATTTTGTAGGGCCCAACATTTTAATAGCCCACAAATGTTTAATCCGGCACTGAACCTGCGTGTCGAAAAAACCGTTCGCAAACATCATCACGGCGTTCGTACCGACATGGGTCGACGTTTTCGTCTTGGCACCCGCCGCGGTCCATCGTTCCGCCGCGTTACTTAACATTTTTGGTACACTCGTGTCCGGACGGTTGTCACGATTATAAATCTAAAGTTTATTGAATTTATTAACCTATTAGTTAACAACAAGTCCACGCAGAAGCATAGATACAATTTTTTTCTGAGGGGGGGGAGGTTAAAGAATCAATTTATAATATTCTTAGTATATCTTAATACGAGGTCCCATATAATAATATTACATTTAAAATGGTATTATTATTATTATGTCCGATACCTAGTTGATGAAAATTATTTTGTTACTCAACTTTTTAATATATATCTGATCATAGTAAAATGAAAATATAATTTTACTATAATAAGTAAATATTAATAAATAATAATTAAATATCATTAAAAAATAAATCTGAGAGGGAGGGGGTGGAACCCCCTTACACTCCCTCCCCCCGTAATTACACCACTGAGTCTTTGGTCACGATGACCGTGTACAGTGGTCGTCGCGTGTAATCACCGTAGCGCGTAGTCGTCGGCTGGCGCTCGTTGATATTGCCTATCGCTCGATTTTCATTATTTCAGTTGCAGCAAAACGACAACAAAAACAGTTCATACCCAATGTTGGTCTAACTGTGACCTACTTATCATTTTATTAGTATTTTATCTTTTTGTTTTTAGTTATTCGAAGATATTTGTGATTGTATTTAATCTTAATATTCCTGTACGATTCGTTTGAATTACACATATTTCGTGATTAAAGTACGTAATGTCGGTCACAATTATCATGTTGCGTCTAAAATTCAACGTCTTGTTCGATTTTCTCGTTCCTTTATTATAATCGTCATACGCCGGGCTTAAGGTGATCATTGTTAAGTGAGTTCTTTCATTTTTTTTTTCTATCACCGTTTTTAGGTGAAAATATTAAATAACGTTGTACATATTCATTACAATTCTTCTAGAATGGCACAAACAAGACGAGTACCAGTATTCGGTTCAAGACCACCATGCGCATATCAATCTCGTCTTGATGAACGTAGCTTACAGTTACGAATGGCAAGACTAGAACGGTCAAGAAAATCTGATAAGCCTGAAGATTTTGTTTGCTATGAAGATTCAGATGAAGAAGAAGAAAGTACTATGTCGCTATGTACGATGCTAAATTCTTCGTACAATTTTGTGGATTATATTAGAAATAGAGAGTATGGAATGCGAGAGTATCGGTCTGTTAACCAAAATCATGGTACTAGGCATATTCTTACTCATGATTTATTCAAAGAAAGATCCATTCCTTTAAAAACAATGAATAAAGTTTTTTGTTCGCAATGGCTAAGTAGTAAACAAATTGTGTTTGGTACGAAATGTAATAAAGTAAGTACAATGTTTACAATATTTTAGTATTCAGTTGCTTAAAGGTTTTTTTCAGATTTTTCTTTTCAACTTAATGTTTATGAAGTTTAATTTATGTTTACACTTTAATAGATTATATCAAATTGCCTTATGTTTTTCATTTGGTGTAGTTTGAAAATATTTTTGTTTAGAAATAATTTGCTTTGATCAAAAGCTTATTTATAACTTAAAACTCTTGAATTAAATTCAAATGTTATGTAATGGTTGATAAATTAAATTAATATAAATACACTACATTAAGAATAAAACCAATCAATGGCTTATTATTAAAGATTTATCTTTAAACTATTTTTAAGTTATATTTATTTTCTATTTCATATCATGTTTAATTTAAATTTTATTTTAACTAAGCTTTAAAGCAATGATATTTGTATTATTAATAATAATATTATTTCAATTAAAATATTCATTAACAACATTCAAATTAGTTATATTTATATATCAATATTTTTCAGTGTATATAAGAGAAATAAATTATAATTAATAATTACATAAAAAGATTATTTTTTTGAAGAATTATTTAAAACATGAATTATTTATTTGAATATCATGGATTTGAGCTTCAATGTTGTTGATATCAGCTGTAATTTAATTAAAACTTATTTTAAAGTCTTAATTTTAAGTATGCTGTTAAATTCTATAGTAATTACAAAATATAAACTTTTATGAAAAAGTATTTTGTATAATATCAAATTTTGATTAATTTAAGATTTCACTTATAACCAACCATTATATGTATACACAATTATATTTTCTAAGGATTTATATTTACTTTATTTTCAAAAATGTGTATTTATTTTTATTAGCTTATGGTTTACAATGTAAAATCACATGAGCTAGACCAAATACCTTCAATAAAAGGACGAACAGATGAAGCACCAGATCAACAAAGTGGCATTCATTCTTTAAAAATAAATCCATCTAGATCATTATTGGCAACAGGTGCATATAATTCAAATGAAATTGCTGTATACAGGTTGCCTACATTAGATCCAATTGTTTTAGCTGAGGTATCATTTCCTCTTCTTTTTTTAACATTATATAATATAAATAAAACTAACATTATTTTTTAATTAGGGTGCTCACAAAGATTGGATATTTGATATTGAATGGTTGGATGATGAATTTTTTGTTAGTGGATCACGAGATACCAAGCTTGCACTATGGCAAGTTCAAGATCAATATGAAGAACAATATGATGCTGATGGTGATCTCATACAACCAGTAACGCAATATCTGAATCCCGCAGTTATAAGAAGCTGTAAAACAGCTCAAAAAGTCCGTGCAATTACATTCAATAAGCATTTAAAAGAAATGGTTACACTATCATTAAATGGATATATCCATATTTGGGACGTTGAACGTTTTAGACAAGTAATTACAGTTTCAATACATCAAAAATATTTATTTATTAGTTCTTAACTGAGTTTTTTTAACAGACAAAATTACAGTATATTTTCGCATAATTAGTACATTTTATGATTCTATATATACAATTTATTTGAATAAATCAATAAACAAATAATTTATACAGAGAAATAAATAAAATTACTTAGCCTTGAATATTATTATATTTGTAAAGTACAATCAGTTTTAAATTAAAAGCTCATCATCACATATATACAAATTCAATAAATTTGCGACTCTATATGAAAAAATAAAAGTAGGAGTATATTGAAAAAAAATTGATTGTTTCATGTAAAGATAATTTATTTTAATAGAAGAGATTATTTAAAATGATTTCTTATTAGACAGAGATATGTTAAAAAATTTAAATATTTTGGTTATAATTATTTATTATTATTTAAAATTTAATGATATATGACAAAATGTATTTTTAAAAAACATGTTTAGGAAAATTTGAATTAATAATTTTTTTTAATTTTATTTAAAAAATGTGTTCATTATATCATAGTTTAAAAATATTATTTGTTTTAATTTATACAATTTATTATATTCATCTAAGTTGATATATATCAGCGTTTTCAAAAGAAGGAGTATTTTTTGTGAAGTTTTTAATTCACCTTTGTAATTATATGTTTAATTAAATTATTATTAGTTATAATAGCAATTTTACATTTTAGTTAATAATAAATAATAATTACCAATGTATTTATATTTCTTAACATACCTATATATAATAAGAACTTATTATAAATAATCTCTCCAGTTAAAATAAATTATCTTTATGTGAAACGACAAATTTTTCTTAATGTATCATTCTTTTCTTTATTTTTTTATATTCAGTCACAATTTTATTAAATGCAGGTAATATATAAATATATATATAAATACCTGTTAATGAATTTTTAATTTGAAATGTGTCATACTTTATAAATAGAATAATATTCTAGGCTAAGCATTTATTTATTTATTTTTTATGGCTGCATACTACTTGTGTCCCCCAAAAAGGTATATTTTTTAGGTAGTAAATTCAACAAGTAACTTGCATCCCGTTTTGGGGATGCAACTTGACCATAATATTTTTCTTACCTGCTATAAAAGTCATGACTGAGATGTGTCCATAAATATTATGTGTTACAATAATCATGTATGTGTAAATTGTATATATGGTATAATATCTGCGACTATTGATAAATTAATATTATTAGCTATTATAGTGCTTCAGTGAATAAAACGATGTACCATGACAATGTCTGGTTGTCGCCAAACAATTTGTGAGCCGTATTTATAAAACTGAATACTTTGAAAAACCAAGAGACAAGAGATTTCATTTTATAGATAGGTATATCGTACACTATAATCGATTAGAATAACACAAAGTATTTTGCACAGTGCTATACTATATATATATATAACTGTAAATAATTTGAACAGTTTTATTTATTTAAATTTGATGAATTATTTATAATACTTATTTTATGCTATGCTTATGATTTATTTGTGCTGGGACGCAACTTGGCTGTCTCAAAAGGTATTCTTGGACGCAAATAGGCTATGACCTTTTTTGAACCTTTTTTGGTGGGACGCAAATTACCTACTGATAATAATCTCGGACACAAGTAGTATGTACCAATTTTATGTATAAACAATCCACTAAAATGTATGTATTTCCAGTATTTCAAGTTAAATATATGGGTAAACAATGATAATAATTTATTTTCCCCTTTCCTTAATATAGCATTGGAAATCACAATTTAAGTATAAGTTTAAGTAATCAATAGTATTTTTTAATAAAGGCAAAATAAAAAAAAAAATCAAGATTAATTATTTTACATTTGTTGAACACTTCTATCTATTTTCTATCTTTTTAAAAATGTTTGAATTTTTTTATATTTATATTTATAACTTTCTAGAAAATATATACTTTGGATATTTAACTTGCATGATTAACTGTGAAATCATTGAATAGTCCCTAAAATATTTGATTTCCATTAACTTTTATTTTCAATTTATATTTATTATTATTTAGACATAAAATAATTAACATTAATAATTTTGTATTTTCTATTTTTACCTTGTAGAGATTTTCAAGAAGACTATCATCTTATCAGGACAATGTCTGCATGGCAATGAAAAATGACAGTAGTTTATATGCTGTTGGATGCCGTTCATACACATTATTACTTGATTCAAGGACTTTACATACTATAAAAAAAATCCCAGCAAGATATAGTGGATGTGGTTTGTACAATTTTAATATTCATTAACAATAAGTTAGGCAGTCATGAATTTATGAAGGTAGTTTCAAATTTTGACTAAACCTACCCAATTATAATTATAAAATATTTATACATTTTATAATCTCTAACTTGTGACCCTCTCCTCCTACTCCTTGAAAAAATTAATAATACTCATAATTTAATTTTGTGATAATTATTTAATACATTTTTGTCTCATGAATGAATAAACCTTATTAACTTTCTTTTTAATCATTTTCAGTTTTAAATTATTAATTGATAATTTTTTCAATGTGCTTAAACAACTTCTATTATAATTTCTAATATTCTTTAAATATAATAAAATAAAGTTTTAATTGTTAAAGTAACTAATTGTTGGTTTTTCAGGAATTAGATCTTTGAGTTTCCAAGATAATGTAATTACAATTGGAACAGGTGTTGGTGTTATAATGTTCTATGATATAAGGGCTGGAAAATACTTAGAGTCTAGTATTAATTCAAGTAGAGCCGTTGTATTAAAGACTAGTCGAGGTTATGTTGTAAGTATTATTATTTGCTTGTAATAATATATTTGTATGATTATTTTGTTTTATAACTATTGTTATCAGTACACCGATGAAGATTTCATGATGGATCAAGGTTTTCAACGAGTAAAATACACACCAGCAATATACACTCACTGCTATGATTATTCAGGAACCCGATTATTTTCTGCAGGAGGACCATTACCAGCCAATTTATGTGGAAATTATGCAGGCTTATGGCAATAGTATTTTCAATTGTTAAGATATTATTGGTAGTATTCTCATACTGTGTTAAATGTTTATACCTTCAGTGGGTAAAATATAACTATTTTATGAGTGACATTCCTCAAGTTAAAGTGTGTGTGCGAAATGTTGAAATAGGTACTAATTAATTATATAAGCAATTTAACTATGCTATTTGATAATCAATACTTGATCTTTTTGATTATGTGATTTGAACATGAAAAATTTACTTTTTTCAAAATATATCATGTTTTAGGAGTAAGAACTAAGACTACATCACGAGGAATGAGTGTTATTCAATTAATCTAGCGATTTTTTATAAGAAAACAGTTTTTAATTTTGCAAAACTTGTAAAACTTATTACTAATATACTGATAATTGAATTCTATAACAAAAGATATTCTTGCTTCATTCTGTATTAAAATAATCATCTACAATTATATATATATATAAATATATATATATTTATATATTGGTTTTGTCTTAAATAATATTTAAAGTTGTAGTTATTTTACTTATATAAATAGATAACAATATAAGTATTCTTTTTTTTACATCAAATAAAATTTACAGAATTAAAATTATATATGATTGTAAGTAATTACAAACAATTAATGAAATATATGTCAAGTTTTTAATTTTTAATTTATGTATTGTTTATTTATTTTTATTTATTTTATTTAAAAATGGTAATAATTTTTTTGTGTAACACATTAATATTGGGTGACTATACTCCTGTTTTCTAATTATTGTTATTTTTGCTTATTATTTTTATTTTATGTTTTTTTTTTAAATATTGGATATACCAATATCAATAAAAATAAAAAAGTTTTATTGAAAGAATAATATAATAAATAGAGCAGAGGACTTGTAGCATTTGCATATTTTTTTTTGCACAGTCATAAAAATAGTAGAGTGCGAAACAAATACATTTCATGCTTCCACAAAGCTAGTTTTGAAATTTTATTGTGTATATAAATGCATATTTTGCGTTTTTTTTTGGTTTTTAGGGCATATTTCTTCCATTTTATACTTTTAGATGCATATTTTAAATATTTTATCATTTTAAAATATTTTTTCGTCAACGTTTGTATTTATTTATTTATACAAACAAAATAACGTTAAATTTAAAATGATTTTAAATTTTAATCATAATATTAATATGTTTTTTGACTTTGCCCAGACCCATCATGGTTTTACTAAAAACCCGTCTTAATAGTTGTCCATTAGATTGATTGTCGGTTTATTAATTTTATTTATAGACAGATGAGATAATATTGTCCAATGCACAAAATATTGATATGGACCACGGGGACGCCTGTCGCCAATATCAGATATATTCATATATCAGTAATCGCTGTGTTTCTCAATGGTTGACAGTCCAAATACGTTCTATTTACTATTTATTATAAAAAATGCTTAAAGTAATTATCCAGATAAGATAACTCATAAAATAAACCCAATTAATTAATTGTAAGTTGTTAAATAAAGTTGTAAATAAAATGTATTCATTATAAGTATCTACAGAAAAATTCTTATTTTTTGTTCAAAAAATTAATTTTAAAATATATATTTTGTATACTTAAGTTGCATATTTGGTGAATTTGTTAAGCTACAAGTCCTTTGCCCTAATAATAAAAAATAACTCTGCTTAATTATACTAAATATATATTTGTTCTACTAAATTTTGAATAGTAAATACACATAAATTGTATTGATTAGGAAAACCAGTGGCACCAAAGAATTATATCAAATATAAACATTTAATTATGATTATATTCTACAATAGAACAAATTTAGTATCCACAAGATACTAATGGGGTACCATCCATCCAAAAAATAGTGCTGCTGCATCACAAATAGGGTTCGGTGCCGCTATGAGTCCACAATATAAAATTTGGAATATTAATTAAAAAATGTATAAAATGATAATAATTATTTAGGGTCTTATACTTTAATGAGTAGTTTTAATAAGCACTTGAAATTCCTATAGTATTTTATTGATACCCAAATTATTTACCTATATTTGTTATTTTGCTGCAAAAGTTAATACCTAATTTAATTAATTAATATTATTTTGTTATTATATGGTATCTTATATTTATTACATTTTTTTTATGTTACATGTTATATTTTTTATTTTGTGCTTGAGCAAACACGAGTAAATAATATAAATAAATAAGTAAAAGAACAATTCGAAATATAAACATTGAAAAATTACATATAAACTAAAAAATATAAAAATTATACCCTATATGTTCATTATTATAATAATTAGTTATTTGAAAACGCATAAAATAATTTTTAGAATAAACTCGCTATAAGTAAAAAATACACTATTCATTATACTATATTTCTAGCTTAATACTTCATTGATTTAAATAAAAGGAAGTAACTATTTTATCAAAAAAAATTATAATTGCTAATAGACTAATTTATATTTCAAGGAAATATATAATAAAATAAATAAAATATAGAGAACATGTACAAATAGATACATAAATTTTATATAAACATTTTATTTAAATTTACAATATAATCAATTCTAAGTAGATTATAAAAGTATTATATTTATTTTAATTTTGTTTCATGTTTATTGATACTTTACTTCTATAATTATTATGTTTCAATTATTTTCAATGCCACAAATAATTTGAAAATATTAAAAAAACTTTTCTAAAATTGATAATCATTTTATTTTTAATTACTAATAAGAATTGTTTATTCAAAATCATTTAGAAATGAAAATTTTCTATGCTTCATACCACTATATAAAATAAATACTTAAAAATTATAATTGATTAATACACAATTATTCAATTACATATTAAAATATATTAAAGTAGAGTTATGGTCCAATTTTGAGCTATTCCAATTGCAGGTTTCCGTATAGTAAGAACTTGATTATTTGTGTTGTATGAAACAATTGACTCAAATGAATTGCTGCCATCGACATGCACAGTAGCTTTGGTGAATACAGAAGGAATACCAACAATCATAACTTTTTCTACCCATGACTTGGTATTAAAACCCTCATTGTGCAAACATTTTGAGATCATTTGATTATTGATGTATTCATATATTATGTATGCAAAGTTACCATCACGATATTCAAAAGTTTCTTCATCATCAATATACAAAGATCCCTTAGCAAAACCTTTATGATCGATTGCTACGATCAATGTGTATGGATCATCTCTCATTAAAACTGATGATCTACGAACTCTTTGTTTAATAGGAACAATTGTACCTCCTCGTTGATAAACAGGCACCTTATTAATAGGCGCTTGTATTTTTGCCAGTCCGTTTGTTTTGATGGGCTGGTAAGTATCTCGATCATACCAAATTTCCTCATGACCAGGGAAATAACAAGTCAGCTCTTGAACGTTTTGTTCTAAAACAGGGCAAACTAACAAAATATTGCCAACCATAAATTCGCTATCAATATTATTGAGTTGTTCTTCAAAGGGAAACTCAAAAAATAAAGGTCGTATAACTGGAAAGCCAGTCAATTCATGATCTCTAAATATTGAGTACCATAAAGGTAGCAGAGAATACCTTGTTCTAATAGCATCACGAATCAAAAGTGTAGTTTGCTTATCAAATAACCATGGTTCTCGACGCTTAGTGTCTATGTGTGCATGACCTCTGAAGAATGGTAAATAAGCTCCAGTTTGATACCAGCGGATTATTAATTCTTTATCAGGGTTATTGAAAAAACCTCCTACATCAGCACCACAAAATGATATGCCAGAAATTGCTAATGACAAACACATAGGAATTGATATTTTTAAATGACTCCATTCAGCCATATTATCACCAGTCCATACAGCAGCAAACCGTTGAGTACCAGCAAAATGGGACCGGGTTAAAATAAAAGGTCGTTTTTTACCACTTGATCGTGCTAGTAGACCTTCATATGTACTCAACACTTGCATTAATCCGTAAATGTTATGTATATCTCTATGTTCAAGATCGCCATGATGAATACAATCTTTTGGCATTGTCACTTCAGGTCCATTAAATACAGAAGGTTCATTCATATCATTCCAAATAGCAATACCATCAGTTGGACCAACAAAATTATCATAGGAATAACGAGAAACATAATACTCTATTGCTCTGGGGTTCATAAAATCCAAATAACTGGAAGATCCTGGCCAACACCAACCTTCATAAACATTTCCGTCCTTATTCTTTACATAATAATCATTACTAAGAGCATCATTATGGAAAAAATAATTGGTATCACGTTTAATATGTGGATCAATAATTGTTACCAATTTTCTTCCTTTACTTGTTAAATTGTTCACCATTTCTAAAGGATCAGAAAATTTTATTGGATCCCATGTAAAATATTTTTTACCGTCTGTATACTCAATATCTAACCACATTACGTCCATGGGAATATCGTAAACGTCAAAATTTGTTTCTACGGTGTGTACATCTTTTTGATCATTATAATTCCATCGACATTGATGGTAAGCCAAAGAGTACAAAGGAGGTAATGGAGCTGTTCCAGTAAGTGAAGAATATTGCCTGGTCACATCTAGAGGTCTAGGTCCCAACATAATGAAAAAATCAATAATTCCACACTCTGACATAAAATGAGCCTTGGGGACATCTTTTTCTGCAGTAGATCCAGAAACTAAATTTACTATTGATTCCACAACTGAAGTATGTTCAGAGTTTTCTTTTACACCTGCAATATCTACCCATGTTTCAGCAGCATTCAACCAAAAAACTCCAACACTGTTTTTTTTCCCATGTCCCATCAAAAACGGAACAGCTCCATAGAGAGCCATTCCATTGTATAATTCATATTCGAAAACATCTAAGTTATAAAACCGATAAGGCTCATTTCCATAAGTACCTTTAAGAGCTAAGTTATCTGCATGCTCAGGTAATCCATAGAGAGAAGTAGAGGTATATAATTTAAAATCCATAGCTACTGCAGACGGTCCACGAGGTTTAGAATCTTGATGCTCCTTAAAGTACTCTTCCCATGATCCTATTTCGTTGTCTGGAATAGATTCCGGTTTGGATCGAAAATGTTCAAATTGCATTAGATTATCATGGTTTACACCAATGGTTAATTCATTGTTAAAAAAAACATCCAATTTAAATGGGGCAATGGTGATGTACATTTTAATGTTTGTACTCAATTCCAATTCTATGGTTGATGAATTTCGAGCCATGGTCATTGGTTCAGTAATAGGTTCAGTTACTAGAGCATGCACCGGTTGAAATCTCTTATGCATTTGATAACCATCTTTATTAATACGAAGACGCAGTATACTATCTTTAAGGCCGTCCAATCGCATTCGTAATGAAACATCTTCATAGTTCTTATTTAAAATGAGGGCTTCGAAATATTTTTCAGTTAATATCATACTATCAGGTTTCAATTCAAAAACAGAATTTTGGTTTTTGTCCATAGAGCGACATCGTTTACAAAAATTACTTTGCTCGCATGTTTTAAAATTACTGCGATCAACTGAATGTACTTCTAAACCAAACAAGCAAACCAAAAATAGTACAACATTGATTGTACTTGTTAACAACATTATTTGTGTGTTATTAATTATGGTTTTAGAAACTAATGACAGATTTATATTAAATACAAACGTGTCTAAGATAAAAAAAAAAAAACACTCACATCGCTTTTAACATGGTCGAAATTGCATATTAATGTGTTACTATGAAAAATGATTATAAAATTATAAGCGTTATATTAAAATGGTTAACAAATTGAACATCCGACATTCGTGTTCGTAACGCGTTAAGTCCCTTGCACAATTTTTACAATAAACGTAAACACTAAGTAAATACTAAATAGATATAATCACAAGAAGTAGTAGGTACTTTAAACGAACAATGATCCTAAATTCCTAACCTAAATTTATCGCGCAGATAATACAGATAACGTATTTTGTTGTTATTTATTAATTTTTTTTATTGAACGGAAAATATTTATTATTTTCGTAACTATAAGGTGTAAAATATCTATACTGTTAAAATTTAGAAATAATTATTATAGGTATGTATTAGTTCAAATCATGGTGCAGAAAGATCTGCTCTACACCGGGGTTCAAATAACACCATAGATTTATAATATTATATTATAAGTCTATGATAAACACGACTATCGTATGTTGATATCAATCGTTCGCGCGAGCCAAGGTTTATAGATTATAAATAATAATCTATTTGCATTTTTTTTTTGGGTCATAATTATTTAAACGAATACATTAATTTTCATATTGTCAAGTTTTTATTCAATATGATTCGATATTTGATCATCAATATGTCAACAAATTCAAAAAAATATTCTGGAGGTTCATCCTGTGCTAACGTGCAAAAATTACGCGAGCCAGTTTAAAAACCAGGAACTTAATATATCATTTCATAGGTATAGCTTTAATTTTTATACTAATAAATAAAAAATAAATAATAATAACAAAATACTCAGTGGTATTACACAATATAAATACTTCTAGGTATATTATGTATTATATTATGTTTAGATTTCCATAGGATCTTGTTTATAAAAATCAGTGGATACAAAAATGTCGACGAGGATAAAAGTGGAATCCCTTAAAGTCTTTAATTTGTTCTGTACATTTTACTGCACATTCTTTTGTTCGTGATTTGAAAGCAGAACTCTTAGGTAGGTATTCATTTATTTATCTTTCTCATACTTTTTTTAACAATTCATAATTATTTATCATTTATAAAAATGTTTTAGGATACACTCCTAAAGTTCGAATTTTAAAACCTGATGCAGTTCCAACATTAAATTTACCAGCTAATCATAACCAAATTGTTGCTTCTACATCAGCAATTAATCGAAAAAAAGAATGGAAGCTAAACAGTTAAAGAGGAAAAAACATTAGTATTATTTCATAGAATAATATATATATATAGGTATTTATTTACTCAGCTAGTATAGAACTTTGAAATTGAATTCATTTTTTATTCTTTATTCTAATTTAAATGATACAAATAAAGACAATTTGTTGTATGAAAAGAGTAAACTGAAATTAAATATAACATATTTTTTACACTAATTATTAATTTTAAAAGTATTTTGATCAAATTAATACTTCTAACCCAAATAAAAATGAGTTTTATTCAAATAATTAGATTTTATACTCATGAATATAAAATTATAATAATTATAAAAAATATAACATAAACCACTATTTATTTTTATATTGTCAATAAATAAAATGTTTCTTTACTGCCAACAATTGATGAGGAATCAATGCTCTCAGATACATCACTTTCTATCAATAATGATTATGAACAGTTATATCATGAACTTAAAAAAAAAAAAAAAAATATATAATAAATTGTTAGCTGAATATCACAAACTGGAATCTAAGATTAAGCTAATGAATCAGCCTGTAGCAGAATGAAAAATTTAAGACTTCAAATTTAGAATTGAAAACAACTAAAAAAAAAATTATTTGTAGAAGTTATGAATTTTTCCCTAGACAAAACTAAATCCGTTGAAATTAAGCAAAAAAGATACCAATTCTTCAGTTTTTCTCAGAATCAATTAAATCTATTATTGAAGAAAAAACAAAGAGTTCGTTGGACAAGAGATGAGATGGCAAAGCTTTTACATTGAGGTACCTAAGTAAAAAAGCTTATATTTATGTATAAGATGAACTACACTATCCTCTCCTTGTGAGAACTATTTTTTATTTAATGTTTTACCTAGTTTTACTACTATTTACTAGAAGTATTATCTTATTATTTACAGCATATTTATATGTATTCTTTTCAGAATTATCATCCATTCAACGATGGGCAAAAACTATAGAGATGAGATATGGTATTCTATGTGACATGTGGAACAGGGTTACCTAAACCGTTAATTTTTGAATAAATAAAAATAATCAAGAGACATTGCCATCAATCTTCAACGATTTGAGTGCAGCAGTCAATACATTGGAGATATTGAGGAGTATGCGATGTGTTGCTCATACTTTACAACTATCGATTCTAGATGTATTTAAAATAGAAAGTATATCCACTATAAACAAATTATGGAGATTGGTGAAGATGTTGAGATTACCAAAACATTTGGAAGCTCTCAAGAATATGGATATGTTACTATATTATTATTCATAATAACTTATTACCTATATTATCATAATAATATTATATCATCTTATATTGTCAAAAATAAATGATTGGCTATTGGATTTATTTTGGCTGAAGCTTCTTTAATTCTTTCAAAGTCACATTATGCTGTTGATGTATATTTTTAATCCTTATCTTAGTTATTATTAAAGATAGGACTAGATGTAATTCAAGTTTTAGATTTTGATATTAAAGTACTAATTATTCTTCAATAATTTTAAATTCAAAATAGTCAAAAGATAATTTTGATTCATAACGTTATTTTCAAAGTTCGAAGAATGGTTTAATTTATGTTATTTTATGTGTAAAAAGTTTAAAGAACGTATTAGCTTACTACATTTTCTTGTAATTGTTAAAAGAACTTAATAAGTTGTAATGATTTTCTAGTAATTGTTCAAAGAACTTGATTGGTTATGACGCTCATCATGTCAATTTTTTAAAGAACTTTTAAGATAATAACGTTTTTTGTAAAAAAGGTTAGTAAACTTAATAGTTTATATTGTTATTTCATATGAAGGACCAATAAACAAAAATTAAATAATTGATTTAGTTCTATTATATTTTGATTTATGAACAACAATAATGTTCTTTGACCGTTTTTTTTACGTTCCATTCGGAAACCCTGGTGCTGAAGATCATGAAACTAAAGGGTGATACATACTTAAAAAAATTATGAAAAAACTAATAGTCCTGATATTTGACGAGGATAATATATCAAGTACTCTAGAATATGATGTATTACATGACGAATTTGTTGGACCCCATAATTATATAAATAAAATATGAGACTAATTTAAAACTAAAATTAATTATTACCTACATGATTTTGTGTATCATAAATTTAATAACAATAACGATATACTGTCAATTTGACTTCCAATACCCTTTTTTATACTAAATAAACTATTAAAATTTATCACTGCATTCAAAGTCCAAAATAATACTAGAAATACTGACCATTTCTGGTAATATAAAGGTAATGTGTTTCATTTTTATTATATACAATATAATGAGTAGTTACTATTTTTATAGTTATAATAAATATAGTGTAGCGCGCCGTCGGTTACTTGATGGTGCAACAATAATGTCTATTGCAAGTTATTCGTCTAAGCGTTACGATAGGAAAAGTTCAATAATTACTCGTAAAGAATACTATTACTATAGTATTTAATAATATATTTAATACATAGAAAAAAAATTAGCAAAGACAATAGTCAATATTAAAATAATCAAATCCAGGGGCGTCATTTCAACTTTTTGAAAGGTATGCTAAAAACAAGGCAGGCCAATGTATTATATACTAGTTATTACAAAAAAAAATTTTCTCGCTACACTCAACAATTTCATTCTTCGACAACAGACGCGGATCCAGCCCCCTCCCACCCCGTCAGAAGTATCAAAATGTATAGTATCTAATTTGTTGTACTATTAAATTACATTATTTTGTGTTATACCAATCTAATGTATTGTTAATTGTTATTGTCACCAATTTTCGTCTTTATTTTTATAACATAAATATATGAAGTGCATAGGCAAGTGCAAACTCTAAAAGCCGGTAGTGCCCATATATTATCATCGGCCCTTTAGTCAACCATTTTATAAATACAACACATCTAAATTACATATACCTATTTAATATCAACACACATCCTATATTATCTTACATAGTTTATAATATAATAATAGTAATAATAATAATAATAATAATAATTATAAATTATAATATAATATAGTTTAAAGTTTTTTTTTTTCAATACTTTATATCATACAGGTACAAGTTAATTAAAATAAAGGTTAACGAATATAATAATTATGAATGACATAGATAGAAGTTATATAAGTATTTTATGTACTTAGAGAGACATTTGTCTATTACCCATACTATTGAACTCATCTATTACTGCATTTAAATCTACCTTTGATACCATTTCTTGTTCCGTAAAAAGTAGTAATAATGACTCCAAACGTTCTTGATCCATTGTACTGCGTAATTTGTTTTTTACAACAGTTAATTTTGAAAAAACGCGTTCACATGTACAGCTGGTTACAGGTATGATCTTAAACATTTTTAAAGTTTTAAAAACACAAGTATATACAGTGGAATTTCTAGAAGTTTTCAACCAATCAATCCATTCATAAACAGATTCAATAGTAGCACCATTTAGTTGCATAGCATTTTGATAATTTTTCATAAGTTTCAGTTCAGTAATTAAATCTTGCGTCAATCCACAGTACGTGTACCCGAGTAAATAAAAATAACATATTAATATGATATACACCACTAAACGGGTAGATTACTCAGTGATTGAGATGCATGAGTTCAGAATTGTATGTCATTATAAATGGAAAACCCTACATAAGCTCTTATATTTATTTTTTAAATTTATTGAAATGTTAACATGTATATCATATTGACTCATATTTAATAATTCCGATTACAAGATATCTTTGTATATCTTATATATCTTTTTATATATCTTTACTATATTATATTAGGCCCTCCGCACACGGTAAAACTGTTTTGCAACGAGAATTTCAAATCAGTTGCGCGAGCAACCGTTTGGCGATTTTGCTTATCTAGCGTAATAGGAAACCGCACACTTGTCGATCAAAACCAAATCGGTTTGTAATCAATTTCCAACTGGTAGCGTGCAACTGTGCTTGCAGGTCGAATTTCGGTTTCAGTTGCGTGGTTGCATTGAATTAATGATTAATTTATTACTTAAAACGTATTAAAA